TCGGAATCCGGGGGACTATTCCAACCGATTGATTTACGAAGAGCAATGCATTACCGTATGCCTTATCTTCCCTGGTCAGAGGGTTAATTAGGGCTCTCTGCACAAACATTGGCTAAGATTGCATTATACCCCTTTATCGCTTAAAAACTAACAAGTGTTATTAACAATCAAAGGTTTAGTATTGGAGTAAATTTATGCTAAGACTGCACTTAGTATAAGTCAAAATTCATATTATTAAACAGAGACTTGGCAGAGGTTAACCTAGTATGAGTTCTACGGCAGTAATAAAGTATAATATGAATTTGGGCTAATACTAAAATTGCAATTTGGCGTAAATTTACTCTGACGCTAAACTTAATTTGTTAATAGCACTGTTATAATATTGAAATAAAAAAATATTCGTGCTACGTGCTAATTTTGGAAAACTCGGGGAACTTGAAAACAAAATATTTAATTAACCTGCAGATGAATTCATATAAATATACCTTTAGCTCGATTGGAAACTATGTGTTTTACATTTTATTCTAATCACACTAATTTATTTTATACATGTTTTTTAAATATGTATGTAATCTTTTAACTCTACCTTGCTTCGCTTATAATAACAAATGCCACGTATAATTATTAAACTATTTTATTTATTTTAATAATTAAAAAATAATAATTTATCTATCATTTGTACTATTGAAGACTTTAAACATTATTTATTTCAAAATAAAAAATTAAGGACAAGAAAACAAAAATGCAACGTAATTATAACCCAAGTTATGCTTACATCGCATTACCTGCGTTATAAGTTGTGTTTGAAATCGAATTGCACCAGGACGAGACAGTCGATGCGGCGCTACGCGAAGTGGGACTCCTCTGATGTGCCAGCAGATCAGACCGCACGACCGGACTACAGAATATTGCCAATATCTTCTAACGGATCATTCCTATTACTCACGGATCTGTTTCATTACTGTGAAAACTGTGATTGCCATAAGGGTCAATATCGTTTGCTGTTTATACAGCTCTCTCACTTTCAAAGAAACGAATTTCCAAAATATCACTATAAGTATTGAACTTAATTTCTTTATAGTATTGTGCCAACTGAGTATCGTAGGATAGAGATTTTTTTTTCTTTTATAAAGGCACGTTTTGTCCTATTTATTTTCTCTTTGAAATTCGCTTCTCTTGAACAGCAATTTTATTGAACCGTAAAGGTTCTGATTAGAAACTTTGTAAATGTTTTGAATATTAAATGTAGTATTAATTAAAGAATTTTGGTATATTTATAAGAACTTTTCAAATAAAAACATCTGTCTTTCTTGTTACATTTAAGCCTATAAGGTATAAGATTAACACTTCCACAAAATATACATCCTAGAAAATATTAATCAAATTTTCTATAATACATATCTCAGTATGATATGCAACACCGTACTGATTCAGTTAAGTGTATTATATGTATAGTGCGTTAGTTCTTACGGCATTTATTTTAATTTCTGTGTATATTTAGACATTTCTGGTAATGAAACGAATCCTTGATTTTGCTACTTTTGTGACAGCCAATCGTTAGACTGGTAAAGTATATTTATCCTTTTATTTTGAGTGTCTACTGATGTTTTAGCAATTACGGAATATAAAAAATTAACGTCAAATCGTAGGTATTTAGCTATCACGCCATATCACCTTCAGGATAGGCAGGAAGTAGTAATTATATCATTGAAGGCAAAATTTGTTCTTCTTTGAATTTCGCTGTTGAAAATTTTTATCAATTGCTGGAGCTGAAAGCACCACAACAGTATTTCTTTAAAATTGAAGTCAGAAAGAAGATATTAGAGTTAAAGTTTTAACATATTTTTAAACGCACCATTTTGCTACATTTTATACATTCCGAATTTAATTAATGTACCTAAATAACTTTTACCTTATATATATTTGTCCTCAAAATTAAATGAAAAGACGCCACAATAGTATTGAATCTGATAAGCTAAAACTAAATGGCGCTGGTTACGTTGGTGATCGTATTAGCTGTCATTTAGTAAGTTGAAAATTAATTAATTAATAATTATATGTTGACTTACCTTTAAATAAGTGGAAATTGAGCTGAAAGCTTATCTTCCTATCAAATCTGGCATTTTTCGATCTGTTTTTGCAGACCTAATTCTCGATTCATTTCTAATAGTTTAACGGTTCTAATTTCACAGTTTTTCATCAAAATTATCTGGTAAACTCACTATGACTTTCATTCTATGGCACTAAATTGTTTGACATTTGACCGACAATCACACTAGTACCTCCTAGCGGAAGCAAAATCAGACGTCGAATTATTAAATTAAGTAAATATTTTATATTTTTTTTACTGATCTTTATTTCGAATTTATATTGAATAGTTACATTTTATACTTGAAAAGAGTTTTATGTGATTAAGTTTTATTAATTTACTTATTGTTTGTGTTTATGTTTTATTATAACTTGAAAATTTTATTTAGTTATTATTATTGAGTAAAGTAAATAGTTGTGTATGTTAAATCGAGTAATTTTTGTTTTCATCTCTGCTTGTGCCATTCATATGCAGTTGACAACACGTTAGATTACTAAAATCTAATTTATTCAATCGACTAAGCCTTAATGTGTTCGCTGTTAAGTTCAAAATGGATTGCAGTAATTTTACTTTTGCAGCAAACTGATGCGCTGCACTGTGTACTTAATTTATACTGGTTTATTTGTAACATTTTAACATTTTAATTTTGTATTTTGTATTATCTTATTATTCATCTGTCTAAGAAAAAAATCGCGCACACTTAAGCTATATAAGAAAACATCTTTTAATAATACTGTAGGTACGATTTTTCAAAGAATATGTTATATTTACGTTTAAAACCCTTCTTACGGTAACGGATTTAAGTAGGTAATTTACTTTTCAACTGTCTTACACTTCTCTTGCTTACTGTCAACATGTATATTATTAGGTATCTGTTCGTAGGATTGGCGAAGATAAAGAACAACGACAGATATGCGAGCATCAAAAGTAAACGATATGTATCGCTATTCATAGAATTGTGTATCGATTTTTTTTGTCTTTTGATGTACTGAGGACACTAGTTATAACTAGATATAAAATTATTTTATCGATTTTTCAATGAATATGTTTGTATATATTCCTTTGTGACGACATGCATATTAATATTTATATATTTAATCATACATTTTAGGTGATTTCAATGTTCGAAATATATATTTTCTATAAGCTTTTTTTATAAAAAAAAACCATTGGTTAAATATGTATATAAGTAATAATACAAAATTAAAGAATATTTAAATATATCCTATTAATATTATAAATATGAAAGGTTTTTGTTTGGATGTTTGTTCGTCAATCACGCCGAAACTACTGAACGCATTTTGATGAAATTTGCTATACAGAAAGGGTATTAGCTGACTTAGATAATATGATGACTCTGACTTAGATATGACTTTTTATCCCTCTAAACATTTCCGTAGGAACTACGCAGGCGAAGCCGCTGGCGAAAATTAGTATTATAATATATAATATGTTATGGGGAAGTAGGCGATCGCTCTACAGAAGGATACAATTACTACATTTAAAAAAAAGTCAAATTTAAACAAAGTCATTTCGAAAACTGAAATAAAGTAAAATGTAATAATACTTAACATAGTTTTAAAGGAATATAAACATATTCATTGATAAAATCCTGATAAAACGTTTTTGTAGCTATGGTTAGAGTTACAGCGAGAAAGTTAGGCGGTCGCCCCCAGATTTATTGCCAAAGTTATTGGGTAATATTGTTAATTGCAAAGTACATAGCCACCCCCAGTCTCTATTCTGATATTATGAAGATTAATATTAATATATTATTATGTATAGATAAAAAATATTTTCTTAAATATTTATGGCCAATTATAATCGTTACCTAGTATAAATCTCGTCCATAATCATATTAACAATGCAGGTATGCAAAAATTCTTTAAAGTACCCACCTAAGTAAATCAACCAGCGAATTTATAATCTAGTTTTGATATTAACTCGCCCAACCAATGAGGTACGAAATAATCAATACTCGAAATACTGCGTAGAAACGTGCCACGTTGCTTATAACTTCAATTTAGAAGTAGGTATGTACCTATAAACTAAATGTTGTCAAAATTTTATTAAGTGTACACTATTTCTCTCTATCTATATGGGACAAAACAAGGATAGACTAAGAAATATTGAGACTGTTAATTTGAATATAGCTATCCCGGGCGAAACTCCTTGTTATATTTAAAATAAAATCTATACTTCAAAAATTTATTATTGAATGTGTGAACCTTTTAAGTAATATATGTGAAACACTATTAAATATTTAGGCGAATTATGGACTTATCATATATAAGTAGGTAAATAAAAAAGAAATAGTATTGATAATCTTAAATATTTTCTTAATTTTTTTTTACAATATTATAAATAACACTGAACATCTAAACATTTATTTCTAAGATAGCCAATGTTGTGTGCAATATCCAGACCTAAGTGATATTTTTGGTGCATGTTCTGTGTGATTATATGTAATACTTAAATCTTTTTTATTATAAACTTGGAATTTAATAAATAAATGTGAATTTATTTACTTTTTATTATACTTAAGATACTGCTAACTCCCAATCTACAAAAAAAAATCTTGTCGGAAAATGAGACAATTTTTTTATAAATATAAATTAAAATTGATTAACGAGAGATTTCCCAACTTATTCCTTCTCAATGGATTGTAATATTACGGTATACATTAAGAGAAAATATTTGTTTTTTTCCATTGAACAGGCTCCAAAACTACGGAACCGATTTTTAAAATTCTTTCTCCTACGGGAAGCTAGATCCGTGGGTGATATAGACTTATATTTATGTTGACGAAGTCGCGGGAATGTAGTCTTCTTAATATTGGTTGCCGAAAAGCGATGGCTCGGTCTAACGCGAGCACGAGCGGCACTAGCTCAGTGGTTGTACCTTGTTGCAGGAGGAGACGCCGCAGGGATTCTTCGAGGACCACGGCCTCGGGTAAACATTCTCAAAGGATGCTGCCGTTTGAAAAGTTTGGGGGCCTGCTATAATATCATAAGTTAGTTTACAATTCATATACATATATTTATATATATATACAAAAGTGGTGGAAGCGTTGACACGTGGTGCCGAAACTATAGGCATAGGGAAGGGGATGTGCAAGGGTAGGCATAGGACCTAGAAAAAGTTTTTATGTCGTTTGTTACTGAATGAGATAAAAAAATATTTTCTAGTCAGGTCAATGAACTATTACAAAATATGTCTACAAACTTGGGGGCAATAGAAAATCTATATTTTTTTAAATACCAAATATTTATTGTTCCTCAAAGTTTTCTATGAATTAGTGAAAATCAAATATTATATGTCTTGTTTACTTCAATATGGCAGGCAGCTCATGATTTTCATACGGCATCTTGGCAACTGCACAAGCGGTATTATATAATCTATATGTTTTAATTATATGTGAGGCGTATATTATTTTAATATTAGGACATGAACCAGATTTAATGTATAATAAATGTTAGATTTTAGTAGCTTAAATGAACAATATCAGTATTGTTTCCATTTGCTTTACGTTCACTGGCAGCTTATAATAATAATACGTACTTAATTTATTTATAATCTCCACGTTATGGCTGGTTTATACATGATTAAGTAGAGAAGTATTAGGTATATTTTTAACTTAATTTAATTATTAAGTACTTGTTAACACAAGTAATAAGCAGTAAGTTAAAATTTAAAAGTTGAGAACGTCTCAAACTATACTTATACATAATTTCAACAGGCTTTCATTTCTGATTTTGGGTTTGCTATTCATCAGTTAATACCAATTTGATAAAACCAGAACTTTTTGATTTGTTAAACGTAAAAAAAATAATCTTATTATTAAGTTATTGAGAATTATCAGTTTAGGTATTTTTCTCAATTCAGAAACCGGCTGTTAATCACTTAAAATTAATTAAAAACTACCACTTAATCACGTATAAACTTGATATTAGTTCTAATGTCAGATGGCACAAGTCGAACACTGCGTAAACAATTTTTTTTAAGTGAACTACTTGAACTGTAGTAGGTACATATTTTTATTAAATATTTTATATTCGTTTTATGAATGATTCACAAAAAGTGTATATTTACTTTGCAATTTTGAACTGATCTCTTTTTGTGTTGTTAACGCGTTTGTATAACGTTGTGCCAAATATTATGATCCCAATGGATTTCAATTATTATATAAATGCATTTAAAATAAATATATTTAAAATCAATCAATTTCGAAAATTTTCCTAGTTCGTGTAATCGTTGATGTCCAATAGAAAAATATTTTGTAATGAAATATATATTTTTTGTGTTACTTTACGAAAGTTCAATGTTTCTCGATGTTCAATGTTAATATTCCGTCTCTTCACTACTTATTAACTCTGCTAAAATAAATTGTTATAAAATATCTTTCATATCAGATTCATATCTTTGATCTGCAGGTAAATAACTTCAATTAAATAATACTATTACCATTTTCCCTATTCTATTCTTGTACTAGAGTAGTATTAGGCCTAAAGGAATTTAAAAATTAAATGTACACATGGATATACCACCCATTTTGGGTTTAATAAAACTATAAAATAAAGTTACAATTGTTTTATTTCTGGTAATATATTTAAAAAAAATCCCTTACGTACTAAGTCTATATATGGTTTAATATCAGCATACAAATCTATAAAAATCCATCAAAATATAAGACTCGTCTCACAGTCTTCGATTGCACAATATAAATACGCATCTTTAATTCTAAGTCATAACAGTAGATACAACCAGTATATCTGCGGTATGGCTTCACGATTATACATTAAAATAAAGAAAATATAATTAAATAATTGACATGAATTATTTTGAATTTTCCGATATGTCAGATTTGGCTTCAGGGGTTGATTTCAATAAGTTAGTGGTGGTTGGCGCCGTCGTTTGGTCGACGGGTTTTTGGACACCTAATGAGGGGGGCGCAGGGTCTGCGTGGGCAGGGGTGGTGGGGGTAGTGGTGTTTTCTTCGCCCCTCCGCTGGTCGCTCGTCACTTTGGCGAGATGGAGAGCTGCTAGCAACGCTGTCACATAACGACGCACATCCAACTCGACACCTAAACAAATAATTATTGTAATTAAAATTATTGGTTATGTAATTTTCAAGGGTGCGATCGCTAACCCTCTAGCCCATAGGAGAGGATCTTAGGGATATTATGTCGTTTTACTGCTATGACACTTTAATTTAATAACGAAACACGAATGATATGGAGTAATGAATATGGCTTTGACAACTGTGTATTATATCAAAATGCACCAAAAGACAAAAGTAGAAAAAGAAAACGAAATATCGCTATAATGTCGCTAAGATGTCGTATCCTATGGCTAGAGATTTATAACTAGAGAGTTAGGCGTTCGCACGACAAGCTTCAAATTGTTGGAAGTTTTTTATATTCCATGATATTTGATGAAATGTGACAGACTATACCTTGTTATTACTTAATATTGTAAAGAGGTAAGATTTTAGTGGTTTGTTTGTTTGCATTCAATAGGCTCCGAATCAACTCAACCGATTCACCTACCACGCGTGTAAAATAGGCTATAATTTACACGAGCGAAGCCGCGGTAAAGCGGCTAATACTTTATAACATTACGGTCGTTATTATTATGTAAATATGGAAAAGTTTACAAACTGGAACATTCGTGTCTGGTATTTATCAGATGCTTCGTAATAATATTGTTCATAAACGAATGATACCGGATCGAGTTACACAGAAAATATTCGACGCATCAAAAGTTTAAACAATGAACCCAAATATAAGATCCTACATATTTTGTAAGATTAACTTACAATTAATTCCCCAATCTTTCTTGGCGAACGAGTGAATTACTTGTCAATGGGATTTGTAAAAAAAAAAACATTAAATAGGGCTGTAAAATAAATCATTAAACTAGTATTTTTCCACCTTTACAAAAAAAAAAACAGAATTATCAAGAGATTAAACGTGTACTTTCGTAATCAATTAATTCGCTCGTATCACAACTTTACTGGAAAAATATCTTCATTAATTATATATTACATTTTGCGTGTCGTAAACATCCTGTTATTGTTCATTCAGCTGTAGGCATATCAAAGGTAGCCTTTGTTCTATGTAAATTGTTCCTGAGTTTCACATGAAGATACATTGAGCAACTTAGAACAGCTTTATCGTCATAATCATAAAGGTCACAATGGCTAGAAACCTTTGCGTAATACCAAAGACAATTTTATAAATAACCCAGTTTTAATAGGTCATCATATGCCTATCAACTATTTGTAACTATTATACGTAAGTAATTTACATTCATATTAATATTATAAAGCGTTTATTTACATTGAATAAAAACTAACTTACAGGAAACTAAATCATTTGTTAGGAAGGGTGACATATTCTATAATTAACACAGGTAAAGTTGCGAAGAAACACCTAGTAATTTAATATAAAGCAGCAGTTCTTTAATAATCTGTTTCTTTTCAAGAGATCGTTCCAAAGTGAGTCTTGCTGGTGAATTTGGACATGTCATAATATATATCCTCTATTTCACTGGCATTAAAACTCATGATTAGTCATTGGTGAGTCAGTGAATGTAATTTTTCATGTTTTTAAAATTAAATATCTATAGATTAGTATTCTGTTACATTTAAATATACACTGCCTCTTTAAAGTTAGAATAATATAAAATATGCTTACACTACTCGCCTGCTTCATTTATAAACTACCCGCATGTAAAGGACGAAGTATATAAAGATTAAAAATGGTTTTTTATGAAACAAAAATGACAAACAGAAAATCATAAATTAAAGTGCAGATGTCTGCTATCGATTGTCTTAAAACTTTCATGGTGATTAACATTAAAGTTATTTTTAATTACATGATGATCTCATTTTGAGAGACTGTTCCAAGCGCCACGATCACGGAACGAAGGTATCATGGCATTTACAACAGCTTTGAAATAAATAGTAATAAAGTGCATGGTAGCGATCCAATAACTAGCTATCATTTTATGGTCAGCTATCGTTCATAAATCAGATGGGGGAGTGGGGTTGATTTATAAACATTATCGGCCGGTCTCTGAATTGAGAAAAGTACAAAATCTCAACTGTTTTTATAGATATCGAAATCGAATTACGTTGCAGTATTGCATAGATAATGGTGCCACCAGTTTTTAAGTAAATGACGTGTGTTTGTTCGAGTCTATTCATAGACTATTTTTTACTGGTAATTAGTCTGTACTTTGTAATAAAAAAATGTAGTCGTGTGTTAATAACAATAAATACAAATTAAAAATACTCAATATCTTAAATTTCTTACGTTTCACAAGTCAAAATCCTAGTTTTATCAAACTGCTATCAGCTGATCATTAAAAAAAAAACAAATCGAGTTTAAGATGAAAAATGCTTAAAAAATCCACTTCGAGTTCCGAGAGGTTCGAGTCCCATCTCAGAGAGCCAGGGAAAACGTGGATTATTTAAGAATATTTTTTTCAGAATAGCATTGTGAGTTCAAAATTGATCAGATATAATGTTTATAATGCTTTAAGTACAGTTTGAGACGTGTTTAACTTTAAGTTCTCAATTCAGGTACCGGGTGTACAATTAATCTGGTTTTTCTCCTGTATCTGTAATAATAAGTAATGAAATATACCACTGTATATAGTTACCTGATGCTCTCAACTGGTCGACTCTACAGGCGAGATTGGCCCACACGCGACGCGCGGCCACAGCGCTCAGCCGGCCCACTGTCTGGACAGAGTGGAGCGCTGGGTCGTTTGTAGAAGGAACCACTTCGCCTATAACAACAACTGTTCCAATAAATCAGGGGCTCCCAAACCTATTTCGCCTACTACCCACCTTGAGAATAAATTATTTTTTAGCGCCCCCATTTTTTCACCTAAACCATTATAAATTCAGTATTGGGAGTTGTATTAGCATAGATTAAATATTCATTCTAAGCGAGACTTAAATGGAGCGACCGATTGGCATGATTTTTATCCAATAAAACCGGACAGATATATGTATATAAATTACACAGAGAGTAATATCGAACAGAGTTAGTATGAGCAATCTCTTAATTTATATTTATCAGTCAGTAAAGAGCACAGTCGGTGTCGAAGAGTCCCCCAACAAGAAATTACAAATCGCTCGCGAAGTATCTACTCAATGCTCCCAATTTTTTTCTAGGTCTCTTACACTTTAGGCCTGTAGCGCCCAAACGGGCGCCCAAAGGGGGCGTTACCACCAACTTTGAGAAAGGCTGCATTAGATACATAACGAGGTTATAACAAAATATTACACGAATGCAATTTCAAAACAGACATAACACAAATTGGACAACTCTTTGTAATACATACACTTATTTCTATTAACAGCGGGAAAAAATTAAGGTAAATCAAAACAATGACTTATACAGATTTTTAGTAAATATATTGAATGTTATTGTAAATAAAAATTTCACTTTTATTAATATATGTGGTGGAAGGTGGGCAATTGCCTTTTAAAACAAGGAACATTGCCTACCCTTGCACTCAAGTTACAGGGCCGTGGGAGGGCCTAGGCATACCTATAGTAATAATAAATGTTTACACTAACCGGTAGGCTCAGGCTGTGGTCCAACAGGGGGCAGGTACGTGTCGAGCAGTTGCATGGCGTACGATGCGCTCGAGTCCAGACCTTGTACCGCCTTCTGTCCGTATGCTGTCGACAGGAGCGCGTTAGCTTTCGCCCATGAAAGCTCTTTAAGTGAATGGACACGTTGCTCAGCAACAGCACGGGCAGCGCATACCTGACAACAATGTACACCTAAAGTTAAGCATTTGCGTAATGTAACATATCACAGATGTGTCAGTGAAATACAATTGGTTTATTTGGAATCAAACTGTCAGGGTTTCAAAGATTAGGCGTTTCCTAGTTGAGCCATGTCTTATTATAGGTTAGTGAAAACAGGCAGTTTTGTAAAAAGAGCTAACATCCAAATTAGGTGTAATAAAAAATGAGATGTAGCATCTTATTTATAAGGCTCTTTATTTATGACTAGTTGCGATGCAATTCGACATCGCAAAATCGCACAACCTTATAAAATATATAGGGAATCACAACTCTTTAGGTCTGCGATATTACAGACAATATGAGGGCGGTTTGGCACTGCTTTCCATTTTCTATTCAGGAGGTTCTCAATCTAAGATTTTTTTCAACCGGGACAGAAACTTGTTAGTGGGCCCTTATCCCCTCCTCCCACAGACAGTGATCCATATTACTGTATGTTTGTATAGGTAAAAATTTTTGTAAAGCTCGTTTTTTTAACACGCTCTTTAGAGGGGCTAAACAGTAGCACCCGAGGCAACTGCCCTCACTTGCCTCTCAAATGCACGGGTATGACATACAAATGCAAATTAAATGTTGAGCATTCTATTTCACAAAAAAATTAAGATATCTCAACTCTTTCGACATCGAATTGGAGGGTATTTTCCAACAGATCATACCTGTTTATTCTTTATGAACGCATTCATACCATTCTTTACCAAAAGTACGATAGAGAGGGTAAGATACCAAGTCATATCTATGCTTATGCTGTAAATAAAGAACACATAACCAAATTGCCCACGGTAATAAAATTAACTTTATATACATATATACTATATGACATAACATTCGAGTCATCTCGTGAATAAGATATCTGGCAGATATAGATTTGTGACACTCTTCATTCATTTCAAATTAATAAGTGGCTTATTGATTTAAATTATGTACTTAGAATATACTATAAATTATCTTCAGTTATTAAGACATCAAAGTTCACTTTGTTATCATCTGAAAAGGATATCCTTAACCATACAATCTTATCACCCAACAGCAACATAAAAATGAAATTGATAAGAGATGTAGATACCTATTTCATTGTTTATTTCTACCATCGCATATTGAAACACGAAAACGGCTACTTAAAATTACTAATTCATTTATATAAATATGCATTTAATGCTAAAAAAAACTATTTACGACTTAAAATGTTTACCTGGCATATTTCCAGATACGAGTTTTTAAATATTGCAAGGTATTAGGTGGTAAATAAATGTAAATGCAAAAGCTTCCAATTACAAATTCAGACAGTTAAAAAACTTCATATGCAATTTTTCAAACACTCATTTCCTATTATGCAATACTTTTAAACGAGGACTATTATTGTTATTGCTGCTGATAATAATTTTAGGTGTTGCAATAATTTGGGTCTGAATTGTATACTACTAAAGAAATATACAGCACACAAACCTTAACACGTCAGGGGTAGAGTTCAAAATCAATTGTGGAAAGAGATATTGTGGTAACTTGTTGTGTGCAGTATGTACTACCAAATTTTTTTAGCTTAAGTAATTTGATAAAAAATATTTAGTTGATGAAGATAATAACATTCTGTAGTATTTGATGATAGAATTTAAAGCCATGTTAAATGAGTACACTCATAAGTTACTGACTGTAACTGACCTCTGACACTCCTTGATAAAAATAATCTAATGTAACATTTCTATTAGCACTTTCATTTGAGAGAAATGTTGCAGTTAATTTAATTAAAATTCATAGAACTAGAAAATATTCTCATTTATTAATTTCATGATAGATGTTATCTTTAATTTGTGTTTTAGATCATTTGTAGGCTTTTTGGTCATCACTACATATTATAAAACAAAGTCGCTTTCTCAGTCGCTATATCCTTACGTATGCTTAAATCTTTAAAACTACACAACAGATTTTGATGTGGTTTTTTTCATAGATAAGGTGATTCAAAAGGAAGGTTTTTATCTATAATACCAGACCACGCTGGCGAACAACTATTAATTATGATGGCAGAAAGCTAGTTAAATATAATGAAACAGAAATTGTACGTCTCCTGTTTTCGTCATATAAATGTATTTTTGTCTTTGTGTGTACAATAAAGAATATTCTATCTATTCTATCTATCTTACCTTGTTAACATGTGGTGAGATTCTGGAGAGTACTGCTTGTTTAGTAGTTTCAACAATAACTTTAGGCTGTTCTGTGACAAGTGGGACTCGGCGTTCCAGCTCGTCAATTGCTGCAGCTATTTTAGCATCACCAACTGACAGAGGAGACGCCACATAAGGTGCTGCAGTGGTTGCCGCTAGTGTTACACTCGCCTCCGCAGTAGACAGAGCCCATTCAAGAAGGGAGTGTGCACCTAATAGAAACACCATATTTAGATGCAGTTTTCACTTTTGGAAGTAATATATACAGAATTGCTCTTATTATAAAACTTGATTCAATATATGAAGTGTTAATTGGTGGGAGATCGTCACATATTCGTTAACTTCAACTGTACTATACATTACAGTATCAGAGCTTTAAACTTAGTTAAAAATAGCAAGCTCTAAAAATGTATGACAATGATCAGTCATATTTTTATCGGTAGTAATCAGTTAAATACAAATTTAAATTAAACTAGAAAGAAAAAGTAATAATACTGTTAGTTTGATTAGATTATAGATCCACACTTTGGTCTAGTTCTTTTTTTTTTATTACTCTAGTCAAGTTTACAATAATTTAACAAATTAAATGTTTCTATATGACTTAGTCTGAACTAGTTTTTAAACATTGGGGTAGGTAGACTTGTGATGTTTAATTAAAATAAAACATTTATTCCTATTAAAAGAATATATTTACCTTTGACTTTGTTGTAGAATGCTCCAACTTGTCCCACAGCAGCCCCTACAGTTGGTAGGGCCATTGCCTTTTGTACAGACTGCAACTGGGGCATTATGTTGGGTGCACTTACTTCAGTTGCCATCTAGAGAAAAAGAATAATTATGTTGTATAGGATAATTGCGGTACTTTTTTCATAAATATATCAATGAATTTCATATACTTATCACGTTACACTACCCCCTTATACAAATAAAAAATATTAAAAACTACTACATTAAAACCAAAATGAAAAGCTATTTAACAAGATCTTGAAACTATATAGGTGTACAGGAAATGAAAGTTGATCAAACAAGATCCTTACAAGTTAGACAGATTGGAAACAATGAAGTCGAAACTTAATCAAAAGAAAACGTTTCGATTTCATCATATTTCTCTTGATTTGGGGTCGAATCAATCAACATAACTATCTTTGCAAGAATTAACAAAAATGGTGTCATTCATCCATTTAAACGATACTACACGCAAAAAGTTAATTTTCCATACATCTACTTACCTTAAATCAAATAATAACTAATTTTGAAGCTGTGAATGTGGGCTTAATAATACAAACACTATTAAAATAAGTTTCAAATTAATTTTCCAATAAGCCTTGGCTTGCCGAAGCAGAAAGAAACGCAATTAACAAAACGACACAACTCTGAATGACTGACTTGGACTGACTGACTGACTGATTGAATGAAATATATATGTAATGAATGCCAAACAGAATCTTTAGATTACCCGATCAGTAACAAAAAATGAAAATACCCATTTTAGACCGATTTTTTTAATATAGGGCGGGATCTGGGAGGGGAATGGAGTAGCAATTACCGACTACGCTAATGTCAAGAGGGCCCCAAAATCGTAATAATCAGCTTCACTTAAGTTTTTGAAGGTCATTCATTGCAAAAACTTGACTATTCGTAATAAATAAATTGGGGTTGTTCAAAAGTTTTATTCGTCGAGAGAAATCAGATTTTTAGGCCGTCAACTTCTATCATCAGCAATAGTTGGTGAATAGTTATACAGAATTCAGAGGAAATTACCATTTGATATGATTAAATATGACCCCTTACAATTTCGATGGGTTTTACGTCAAAAATATAATAAAACGATTTTATATACAGTAAAACTTAATTAGAAACGCGTTTCTATCACAAACTAATACACACAGACTTAGTAGGTATAATACAATATAGTATATGCTAATACAATATAGTAATTGTTGTACAGATATTTTTTCATAATAAAAGCAAAAAGGATTAACTTTTCTGCCAAAATCAATTAAACCACCGAGTTTATCAATTTTATAGATACAAAATCGTGGCCACCCGTCGTAAAGTTTTATATTTTTTAAAGATAAAAATGCACTACCCCATTTTAGAGGTAAACCTCAAATATTGGTAACCCTGTCAGAATTTTCTAGGTATGGTATACATGTGATACAATTTCTGCACTCGATTGTAAGCCGTGAAAGCTTTCACGTTAAGTTCAAAATTGACTGCTGTATGTACATCGTAATTTTCAGCGTATTTCGCTACATATAATACACAGAGCATAGGGTCTATGCATTGCGTATTACATGTAGCGAAATATCCGCCGGTATTAATTTCAACTTATGATTGATATTGCTTTGGATTATCGAATCGGCTAGTTGTTGGTGAAGCCGGTTCCGTTCGAAGGGTCGGTAGGTACGTAGTACTTGATTCGTATCACGTTCGCAATCACATGCAGACGACGTGTTGAACATTTTTATCACATCAATTAGCCATAGGCTACTATATTTAGTTAATTTACAAGAAAATTAAAAAAAAACATCTATGACAATGATAGTATAACTCACCTACTGTACTTTGCACTCAAAAACACACATTACTATAAGGAAGTCTAAAGGAAATCTCTGACTCAGAGATTTAAATATTCATACCTAACTTTATGCGTTTGACTGTCGAACCATTGAACTTTATATCTATCCTGTTAGAACTCGTACTTAATATTTAGGTAGGTATTAGATAGCTTTCCGTAATCCAAAATTTCCACTCTATTATTTTAAGATACTATAGGTTTCGGATCACGTTCCTTAACAATAAAATCATACATAAGACTCAGTTTGTTATTATTTTATTACCTATCAAAGTTACCCCTAAACTTAACGACAAAGTTAAAACCTTCTTGACTTTGTCGTTTTCCTTTACTGGTTTTCAAACAGTTAATTTGTATCAAAGTTGGTGTTGGTGTCCAAACGCCAACGTCATAGCGAACGAAGGGCAAACATCGATCGCTTATTTTGTGGAACGGGGCCAACATACGCATAAACAAACATTGGTTGAACCGTCGCTCGCCTCTTATTGGCAGAGCTCAGTCTAATTTCAGTGTATCATTTGGACGAACTTGTTTGATAATTTTGGAATATTGGAAGTAAAACGTCGTCTTTATAATGTGTTGGAATAACGATGTTGTATTGGAATTTGTGGAACTCTATCGAAGACAACAACTTTTATGGGATCCCAAACATCCATCTTATAGGAATAGAAGTGAAATTGCTGCCGCTTGGTTATCAATACAAAGATCACTTAGTATCCAATGTTCAATATCGGAACTTAAGAGGAAAAAAGAATCTTTAATGACCTCTTTCAGAATGCATTTTTCTAAGAAGAAACGACAAGACTCTTATAGAACTACGTGGTTTGCTTACCCTTTGATGGAAAGTTTTCTTGGCGGTAAATACGAATGTGATAGTACTGTAAACCAGATAGAAAACGAGGTATGTTTTGATTATAAATACCTAATGTCGTTCGTTCGTTACATAACTAGCCTATATTGTTTTTATAATACCTACTTAGGTATCTTATTTTTTATTAATTTTATATTATTCTTATTTTAGTTACTAGTTTTAACTAAATATTATTTAGCGTCTATCCTTACTATGTATTTAATTATTTAATCTGACAAAGTTTATTATTGGCAAACTTAGATAATTTAAGTTGTCAAATGTTGGGTCAAATACGCCAAGGTCAAACCAAGGTGGTGATTACGAATCATCGCCATCTTTCATTAATTTCATTTTCATTTTACATGTAGAAATTAATTTATTCACTAGACATTGGCAAAATTGTGCGAAATGCGCATATAAGCCATTAATAAAAGAAGAAGGTGGTGATTATTACGATGGTTATTTTTTGATGTTCGTTGCTAGGGATGAACTTTACAAACATATCGATATGAATCGACTTTAGTCGATATTGACGTATCGATGTAGTACAACAGCGAACACATATATCAATACTTTTTTTAATTTCCAGTTCTCTACTGTTACCTCAAATAATATAGAGCGTAGCAGAAAACGGAACACAATCGACAGAAACAACAGTAGTGCAAACATACAACTTCAAGTGGATGGTAGCGTAAAAAACGAACCGGATATTTCGTATACCAAGAAACAAAGAGCTGAAATAACATACTGTAACGTCAATGATATGAAAGCTGATACAGACGAGTGTGACTTGTACGCTCAACTTCTAGCAAAGAAACTTCGAAAGCTAAATGAGCATCAGCGTGACGTCGCTATGCATGAAATAGACAACATTATGTTTCGCGCCAAAATGCAAAATGGCGGCCCATCTCAAAGAAAAAGTTTCTCATCGTCTCCTTCGCCGGTGACTCGGAAAGTCCAATCACCCATATTCATAGTAACTCCACAAAATCATTTGCAATATGAAGACGAAAATATTTCATATCAAGAAGAAGTGTCGCAGGTGCAGAATCCACCTTAATTTTTCTAGGTGATTGTTTTATTATATTAAATGTGATACATAGGACTAGCATCTTGTAGACCGATGCGTGTCATTTATTTTTTAACATTTCAGCGAGCTATTCTCTTCTGGGCCTCTAAATTAAGTTTCATTAAAGAAAGTGTAATGTGTGGTAATATTCTATTACACTTACACTATTACTCGTATCTATTGTTATATATTTGTTATAAAACTGAGGTTATGTCAGGGTTGCCACCTTTTCGGGAATAAAAATCGGGACAATCAAGTAGTCATCAGAGACGTTTGGATTAGTTCGAAGTTTGGTCTAGTCATGGTCCAATCCAATATAACCCATAAGACGGACTACAGAAAATAAAACTAGTTTGTGATCTAATGTGTATTTATTTTTAACCGACTTCAAAAAAGGAGATTCTTAGTTTAAGACCATCCTAATCGGCCATTTAGTCTAGCTTTGAGCTAATCTTTATACATCAACGTGCCATTTTTCTACAAAAATGTTTAATGAGGTCATATACGTGCCATCAAATATTGCCATCCAATAATTCTTTATTTACTACAAAAAAGGTATTTTTTTTCTAATTGTACATTGAATTTCATGATTGTACCCAAAATATTTTGCCACATGCCACCAATGGCACGTGTGCCATTAGTTCGCCATCCCTGTCTAGCTAATCACGATCTGACATAACACAAAAAAGAATGAAATATTATATTTTTTTAAACAAGAACCAACTTCAAAACTTAAAAGTAAAAAAAAGAACAAAACTAAACTATTAAACTAAACATTAAACTATTTCCGTGTGTATTTTTTATTGCTTTGGGCCGCTTTCAATAGTTCTACGTCATTTTTATATTTGTTCACAAATTCTGAACAAGATATGCCTATGTTGAGCGAAATTAGCAATTCTGCTTTTATTAAATCTACCGAGCAACGATTTCTGATATTAGACCATTTCATGGTCATTAGTGAAAATACTCGCTCAAAATATGCATTTGAAGGATGAATCCTCAAAGCACGAGATACAACATTAAATAATGCGTTTAACTTTTGCTCCTTTGCGGCTTTACAAAGGCGAACGCGGTACATGCGGTAGATGGCACGCAACCGAGTGAGCTGAGATCACATTATAGTATTATCAAAAATCGGGACAAAATCGATAGGCTGTCGGGACGCGGGAAAATGTCTTCGAAATCGGGACTGTCCCGACAAAATCGGGACAGGTGGCAACTCTGGGTTATGTTAGTGGATAATGTAAGGCAAATAAGATATTTGTATTTTTTTTACTTATCTACTTATTAATATACTAGCTTTCCGCCAGCGGCTTCGCCCGCGTGATCCCTAGGAAACTGTTTATTTGGGTATCGATTGCTGTTATCATAGCATATTTTTCATACATATATTTTTGGTATCTTGAACCGTTTTCCCAGCGCACGCAACGGAAGCCCTCAAGGATGAATAATTTTTCCCTTTTTTTCCACATTTTCCATTATTTCTTCGCTCCTAATAGTTGCAGCGTGATGTTATATAGCCTAAAGCCTTCCTCGATTAGTGGTCTATTCAACACAAAAATATTTTTTCAATTCGAACCAGTAGTTCCTGGGATTAGCGCGTTCGAACAAACAAAACAAATAAACTCTTCAGCTTTTTAATATTAGTATAGATTTATTTTATACATGGTTTTAAGGCAGATGACTTGGTTTCGGTTTGGTCCCCTTTTACCATTTGAGATTTTAAGGTTTTCTAACTTACCTACTACCTTACTAATATATAGAATTTACCGTACACTTTAAAATGGATTATGGCAAATCTTATACCGTTGCCAGCTGTAAATGGCTAAAATCCGATGATCTGCCCTACGATTACTGATAGAAATACAACGGATATTGCCGTCAGTGAAAAATTCAGTAATCGAATCTTCTATTCCAGAAAAGAAAAGCCCTATGCAACTGAATACAAAGATTTTGCCAATACAAAGATGATTAATACACCGAAGGTAGATAACACGTTGATAATAATAACTTCGTTGTTAACTGATTATTATGATTCAGACGGACTTCGACCCGGGCGTTTAAAACATTTTCTATGTTTTAAACGCCCGGGTACGTGCGTGGTACTATTTTTAATGACGGAAGTAGACCCGCCCCCTAATTGTCTAATTTTAAATCTATTGCAATCGCTTTCAGTTTGAAAGGTGTTGCACAACCATTGCTGCATAATACAAATACTTTTTTTTCAACTGTCTTCAGAAACAAGCAATGGTTGGCAACACCTTTCACACTGAAAGCGATTGCAATAGATTTAAAATTAGACAATTAGGGGGCAGAATTTCAATTCCGTCTATGATTGTATATGAATAACTAATAATCATTATTTTGTTGTTTAATTTGTTATTTGTATATTAAAGTTGTGATTTGATCATTGGCTCTTTTTTAATAAATCAACAAAATTGTTTTACCCTAAACAATCTCAGTAATAGTAAAATGCTGTGATCAAATGAGAACTTTTATTCCGTTCCCTTCACCATAAAAAAAATATATATTATCCAAAGCAGAAATAATTTGATATGGTTGTTAAGTATTGTAAAATTTTCAAGTGGTGGCAGTTAAGGGGGCGCCAAATCATAATTATGTAATACTTATTTCGGTAGTTTGATTTTTTATATGTTTTATTAGTTTATTTTTTTTTATATATCTATATAAGTACTATAATAAAAATGTAACTGAACGATGTCTGTACATTGAAGATATATGAAAAAAACTGTTATGAGGGTAATTTATAAGCATAATAGAACACAAAACAATGATTTTTAAATTTTTTGTCTGTTTGTTTCTTTGTCCACGCTATTCTCAGAAACAGCTGAAGCGATTTAAATGCTTAAATGTTTTCACTATTATATTGCGATATTCTTCTGTTAACATTTAGTGTAAAATTTATTTCAATCGGTTCCCAAATAAAAAAGTTATGTCAATTTGAAGTGACGTGTTCGCCAAAATTGTTATGAAATATTAAATGTTTTATTAAATTTTCGTCTTTGATATATTGATCATCATCATTAACTTTTTCACAGCAAAACTGCAGGGCCTCAGGCTTTTGTTTAATATTTTTTGGTCACTTATCCCGTGAACAACTCTTGGGAAATAGCTTAGTAATAGCGATCGTGCGCAGCGGCGCTTATCCGTAGCGCCACCGAGCTACGAATTAATATTATCTATAAAATGATAATTTGTATGACGACAAAAAAATAAGATTCCAAAATTTTGACAATTCCAAAGTAAGTTGACATCATTTATGGCCATATGGCCAATCATATTAAATTGGGTTCAGCTTATAATGGACGTTGGTATACGATCACGCGAGTAGGAAAACAAGCGAAAAGATGCAATTAAGCATCGAGTAGTTTACAGTGAACGCATATTTTTATCAGATTAGGTTCACGTCGTCGTCGTGGCCAGCGGATGTGGTTGGCAGCCGCCCCCGCATTGCACGGTTTCGTCTGTCTGGGAGAGGCATTCGATTTACCGGAGCCTCTCCAATTTTCCATTGGTCCACCCCTACCAATGATCCAATACTTGAGTGTCCTGGTGACTCGGCCATAGCTTGCCGGGTTTCATCTCCCATGAGAGGGTGTAGCGTACGGGTTTTGGTGGGTAGGCCTCTGGAGACCCACTGGGCAGCTCATTGTCGGGTTCACGAAGGAGAATCCTACTCACCCCCTGTTGCTTGACAGGTAACAGTGCCAGAAGCTTTTCCACGACGTTAAAAAAGTTAGATTCACGTCAACTGAAGTTAAGAACGTAAAGACAACTCGAGTTATATTTTTATTACTATTTTTTATGTTAATAGCTACTCTTTTTGTTTTTTTTTTAACATACAAATTGCTGTAGATACGTACTTTAAAGTTGGTATTTTCAGTCTTCGCTGGAAACAATGGTAACAATTCATTGGTAACAACACTCATATAATATTAGGCGAGTCTGAGGGTCGGTTCAGAGTAGCCTAGTGGCGTAGTGAATAAGAGCCACGGCCCGCGATTGTAGTTGTTAAGCAACTGCCGCAAAGGTCGGTCATAGGATGGGTGACCAAAAAAATATTATTTCAAGCAACTCCAAACTTCGGAAGCCATTGGTCCCGATTGGTCCCGGTTGTATTTGCAGTCGACAATATCCTCCAAACCGCCTTGGGCCACCATTGAGGGTCGTGGCCCATCCTCCTTAACCTCCTCCTCCTTGCAAAACTCCTTGCAAAAAAGGCTGATGATGATGATGAGTTAACTCTTACGGGCTACACCTGCCAATAAAAATGATTATTTAAAGGCAACTTTATAGAATTCATACAGAGTATAATTTATTCAAAATAAAACAAACATAATTGATTCTTATACAAAAAATTAATGTTAAGGATGAATCTGATTCTGTTTAATAAGTCTGTCGATATCCGGTTCTAATTTACTCAAGAAAAGGCGGGAATCACCACGTTCAGTAGGTAATATGCAAACGATTTCTCTTTTTAGTAAGCAGTGTTGCCACAGTGCTAAATCCATGTTCACACAAATATGACGATGGGAATGCTATCAAGAATCATTGTACGATTGACCACAAACCAGGATGCTATTGCAGGATCGATTTTTGTAGCCAAATTCTTATTACCATTTTTGAACTTGATTTTTATTTCCTAGTTTGTTGTCAATTCTATAAGTTCTTTTCCAGCTGAGGTGACATTGCTGCGTCGACATTTGAAAACGTATCCAGCACCCAGTCTAGTATTTCAAAATGGTATTGTTCAGTGAAATCAAGTTTCCAAGAACTCTATCACAGAGTTAAACAGGTTGTAAAATAGTGTCAGAAAATTGCCTCCTGATATCCAACGAACTTCAGTATAAAACAACAAAAGGTTAAAATCCTCGTCATTAGCCAATGAAATTATCTATCATTGAAAGAGCTGTTGCAGATTTTACTGACTGCTTTGATGGCATACGTGATTGAAATAGTCGTTCACTTAAGCTTCTAGCGACTTTTTGAGCAATTAACAATGAGATATTGTACGAAGCTCGATGTCCGTCATCATCTTGCTTAGCAGCCGCCAAAAATGGTTTTGCTACACTTAGCTGAGTATTATGCTTTTTCTTTAGGTCGTGTTCGTGTTTTTCTTAACTGGATACATTGCGCGACTGATTGACATGATTTTTGTTTTATATATTCAATAAGACAGAATAGTTATAATTATGACCTACGCGGAGAGAATTATTGAACAGAGTTTGACCAATCTCTTAACTAATATTAGATGATGTTCACAAGTTTTAGTTGAGAGTCGAGAGCTCATGCAGTCAGTGTATAACAGGCCTAGCTAAATTAAATTACAAATCACCCCCGAAGCCTTTACACAATGCCCCCATTTTTTTCTCAGTCTCTTACCGCCCCCGTTTAAACCTGCAGCGCCCACAAGGGGGCGTTATTGCCCACTTTGGAAAAGGCTCCAAAATATAATGCATTGCGAGTGCTACTTCGTTTGCCGTGGCCATTATGAGGAAACGTTGCGCCTCTGCACTGACTCGTTTACGCAGTAGTACCAGAGGTATTGTTAGGGTTTTTGTTGATCGGTGGGATTTGTCCCTCTTACAGAGGCGGTTATAGTATCACACAAAAAAATGTATAATAGGGTAGATGAAATTATGTAACTAACATTAAATTTTATTTGATTTTATTGGAATTTGTATTTACTAACATTATTTTTAAGATAAATGTTACTATCACCCCCATTAATCAGGAATTATTAAAAAAAAGAAAGCACTTCTAGCAAAAGTTGATTTTTGCAGGAAACGAATGGATCAAAGTTTTGTTCCCTTTTACTAACATATAAAAAAACAGAAACTTGCAAAGTTGAACCTTAGATATCAATACAAACACGAAAAAGTACAAATAGAATATGAGTTGTTTATTGAGTTTTGAAAATTAATTTACTTTTATACATGAAAGGAAGGAAGGATTGTCATGGTGAAATCAAGAAAGTATTGTAGTGACATCTAGTTTGATTTCGTCACGTCATCTTATGATAGCTGAGTTCACCATTCAGTAAAGTCAGCAATTTTGAAACAAAACGAAATTATTTTAAAGTAATAAATTATTGAATAAAGGCGCTTGTGCAGTACACTGAATTTTCATGTCCGGCGGTCCGTTTTTTTCCGGATCGGAGCGACGCAGTTTAGGACAGCTCTCTTTGAAGCTACATGTCACTTATTCTAGGTACGATGAGATTTTTGGAACGTCAGTAATTGCTTGCTTTATTACTCTCTGTGCGAAGACGTAGAAGACCGAAGAATATTGGGTCCATCCCCTTATAAGTATTTAAAACATTAAAATGTACCAATCAATATTGTAAGTTCCTTGGTAATAGACAATAGCACGCGGCAACATAAATATTGTTGAAGTAATTAATTATGATAGATGGCGGGATAATGCAACAAATAGCATCTTTTTCTAAATATTGAAAGCGCGCCTTTTTTACCTCATTTAAAATGTGCGCCAATTAGAGTATTATTGTATCAACACATTATTTGTTAGTTTTTGTTGTTTTCGATAGTAATTATAAAGTTTTTTAATCATTAATATAATTGTTAAGTTTTCTTTTTATTATTATTGTTAATTGTATATTATACCTATTTGCCAAGATGAGAAGGAAAGTGCTTCATAGTCGTCCTCGTGAAATTAGAAAAAAATACTCCCGAAGCTAGTGAAGATGTATTATATTGTAGAAAAACGACCTCTGTACCTATATAATGTATATCAAAATAAATATTATTTAACTTCTTTTTTCTTTTCTATACCTTTTGACCGGGACAAAAACAAATATTGGATTTATTTTAATCTCTGAACTATTATTTTTGAATATAAATAAAATAAAGCTGTCAGCTCAGACCAAATAAAAAATAAAGACGGAGTACGCTGAATAACAAAGTGAAGTCGATTTTTAGCAATTGTAGTGTGCGTGCCAGTGTGACCATAGTCATTAAAAACACCCCAATAACTTAACGTTACGACGTTATAGAGTTAACGTTAACGCTATGCTATTTAATCATATAATGTAAATTCGTTTGTCAGCATAGATATTCTAAAATCTTTAAGAGTAGGTAATTATTATTGGAGGCCATACATTAGAGAGACTGTTTAATTAATTTTTAAGTTATGTTTGAAAACTTCCACAATGTTAACTAAAATTTTAATATATAGAAAGTTTGAAAACTTTGGATATAAGTTTTGCTTTATTCATCGTAACCCTTTTATAGTATAATACATATCATCACTCTTAAAATGAGTCGAACAAACTACGTTCCGTGAAGTTGGATTCCATGAAGGTTCATTTAAACTATTACGAATTACTGAAATCCACTTCTCTTTCACATTTTGATGTCGGTTTGGAAATAAAAAAATGTATGCAAACCCGTTTAGTAAAAATAAAGAAGTAAAAAATTAAACCCGTATTTATTTTTTATTTCCTTATTCTAACACTTCAATATCTGTGATCTGGACCTCTATGTAGCATTTTGAATAGAGAGTTTTAACTACCAATAAAACTTACCTAATATTTTTCCTAAAGATATCCGGAATCCATCTTGAGTCAAGCATCATCCTTTTTGTGACGTTTCCGGTCCAAAACACTACCTCCTCTCTTACTTCCGGCGCCTGTGCTGCCATCTAGTTTGCGGGTAGCGAACCAATGACTTTTGGGCACGAACGCTTACCGTCATTATACCTACTCTAGATGCACCAGGTAGAACTTACCTGGATTCCGGATATCTTTAGGAAAAATAATAGGTAAGTTTTATTGGTAGTTAAAACTCTCTATTATTTGTTCCGTTCGATATCCGGAATCCATCTTGAGTGATGTGTTTCTGGAATCCGACGATACTGTTCGATGAGCTCAAAGACAATAAATACGCCTGCTTCAATGCTGTTTTCTTTGTTTATTTCGCTGTCCCGTTGCTCCATCGCGAAGGGAGGTTAATTTAATATTCATTTCATTTTAATTTTAACACTAAACTATATAATAATAAGTATAATTTGTGCACATTTTATGTAGGACCGATGTTTTCGCCACGAAAACCGACGCTATAATGATGGTAAGCGTTCGTGCCTAAAAGTCATTGGTTCGCTACCCGCAAACTAGATGGCAGCACAGGCGCCGGAAGTAAGAGGGGAGGTAGTGTTTTGGACCGGAAACGTCACAAAAAGGATGATGCTTGACTCTAGATGGATTCCGGATATCGAACGGAACAAATAATGCAAAATTTATTAAATATCATTTCCATACAACAAGAAAAAAATACATAACGTAATTTGTGTTTTGTAAGAAATAACGCGTTATAAAATTAAAGTTACCTGATTTCGGGGTAAATAATAATGTTTAACGATGGTAATATTTGGCTGAGGTTTTGTGTTCCAAGCAATTACTTAAATTTAATTTTTAAATTACTGAAAATGTAAGTTTTCTCCAATACTTATGTGTGAAATGTGATTCCATCCTGCTTTTTATTTTTTGAGGATTGGTTTTTACAACCTTTTACTACAAAATTCGGCAGTTAGTAAGATTTTTTTTTTTATAAATAAACTTTCCGCACACTGTCTTTAGTAAGACTGAAAAGGAAGGCATAGTTTCGTTATGTATGTGTGCATGAAACAGTGTACGAATATGCCGAGGCATAGTTTTGTCGGCTTCATTTTTCTGTTAGGCAAAACTCCGTCTATACTTTTTATCTGGTCTGAGGCTAATAGTATTCAGCATTTTCATAAGACTGAAATATGCGTTGAAATATCAGTATTTTTTTTCATATATGTATTATTAGTTGGTTTTAATGATTAAATGGGAAAAACAATTAAAAGACGAGTTACATTATCATAAGAATTCTTAGTAATATCTTTAAATACCAAAAAAATCATGTTCGGATGGACGGACTTAAAAAAGAATGAGCTTTACAAATCTCTTCATTCACCTTTGGGCTACAATAAGACAGACATGCTTCAAAAACCCTGAATGCAATAAAAGAAAAATATCGCACACTGCAAACAATGATAATATTAAATCCAACTTCACGGAGCATTTGGGAAGGGCCGGGGGGTAGAAGGGCGCCATACAAAGTTTATTATGTGAAGTGTAATTTTGTTTTCTTTCTTCTTTTATTAATCTGCACGTTTCGCTTAATTCTGCCAATGTCAAGTGATAATAAATAAATAATGTGAAATGGAATGAATACATCACTACTGCGAAATCGAGTTGTCATTGTCACTATTTTGACTTTTGTTGTCAGCTGTCAAGCTTAATGTCGAAAACTATTTGCGTCAAAACATTGCAAGGCTACTTGTGAAAACAAAGCATACATAATATGTTTATTTGGAAATACAGCTAAGTAAAAACAGCTGTTTAACGAGGTAAATTATATTAGACTATTGTTGAGTGAGTCCACAATGGCAACTATGGTGAAAGAAAAACGTAGAGAGGTATTATATGAAAGTTATTGTTACATTATTTTTCTCCTAATGATCTGTTTTGCGTATAATTATTTTAATTTTGTTTATATGTATATGTAGTATATTTGAAGTATATTACTTATATTTACAGAAAAAGAAATACAAAGAGAAAACATGTAAGGCTGGACCTGTAACAGAATGTCCAAAGATTGCAAATCAGCTTGATATTCGCGAAGAAGAAACCATTTTAATAGTTGCAGAAACATCAGCATCATCCAAAAACATTCCTGAATATCCAACAACAAAGAATTTTAATGCTGAGTTGACACAAACCGATCAGAAAGTTACACAAACTAATTATGTTCAAGAAGAAGAATCAGTTCCTCCAGTCTGCACTATAAACTTGAATACAAACATAAGCATACAAAATATAGAGAATCAAAATGTCTATTTACAGTGCACTGAGGATTTGGACAAGGTTAATTTATCTGATGTTTCAATAGGAAGTGAGGCTAATGAATCTATACAACATGATTCCCAAGTTGCCACTGAACCATCTGCACCATCAGCTCCTATTATGGAAGATGAAGTACATTATGTTGCACCTATGAAAGAAATGCCAGTTGTAAATGAAGTTAAGAAACTAGAAAGTATGCCTTTGGAAGAAGCTATGAAACTGTATGGAGGAACTGTGATCTCTGAAGTTATAGTAATGAGTGAAAGAGAAGAAACTATAGTGGAGGCTGGGCCTACAAGTGGACCAGAGCATCCCCTGGTAGATTTGTTATCAACATTTAGGTAAATAAATGTTAATTTATCTCATATTTACTCCATCAGTATATGCAATGTTTTAATCATACATCTATACAATCAATGAGCTAATATTGCATTATGATTGGAAGATTGATTAACATTGATAATTTATAGTAACAATTTATTTGTCAAAATAAAACATTGAAATATTGCTACTTTATTAATAATTTAGTTTTTCTCAGTAACAATATTGTTGTCATGATGATTTTATTTTTAAACAACTTAAAAATTAGGGAGGTTATCAATTTAAGGTGTATGTATGTAATTTGTTAGAATGGTGTAATATTCATCTATGTTCATCTGCATGGGCTTCTAAAACTGTTTTGCAAATGTATGTATGTTGCAATGATTCTTTTTTTTGTTTAATTGCTTAGTTTTCAACTTAGGGAATACTACAAGTTTTATCAAAATCAGTTCAATAGTTTTCAAGATATAAACTATTAAAATTTTACCAACTTAAAAAAATATGTTGTCAATTTGACCTGTATGTTTTTAACCATGCTTAAAGAAATGAGGTTTCCAGTTTGATTTGTATGTTGTTATTGTTTAGAAATATAGTACAATATTTGTATATGTTAGTCCACAGAGGTTATCTGTGTGTTAGTCTATATTAGGGCTTCTAAACACATTTGCTACTATTTTGTAGGTTTCTCATAAATTGGGCATTGGATTGAAATCATTTTCCTTTTTTCTTGATTAACTATTACCAAGTGGACCTGTATTCAGTTTATCAGTATTATTGATAAACAAGGTTAAGTATTGGAGTAAATTTATGCTGAGACTGCACTGAGTATTAATAAAAATTGATATTATTAAAGAGACTTAGCAATGTTTAACCTAGTATGAAGCTCTATGGGAGTAATATTTACTCCTAGAAGGTATTAGGTTTGCTTATTCTCTCTATAATATGTATTTGGATTAATACTAAAATTGATATTTCAGCATAAATTTACTTTGATGCTAAACCTTGTTTATTAATAGGTTTATTAGTGATTCAAATTTAAGATAAAAAATAATGTGGTATTTTTTCTGTCTTATCAGTTATTTCTCTTTATTACAATATTTTTGAAGGCAGTATAATTATTTTTTAAATTGTACTTTTTGGTTTGCTATTATTTATCACAATTCTCTATAACATCTAATAAATTGGGAAATAGCCTAGAGTGATGGGCAAATAAACTGCATTGATTATAATAGTTTTTGGAATATGCACAGAAAATATTGAAATGAGACTTGTAATTTTTCCAGGAGCTCTCTTATAGCTGTTAAAAGGGAAGGAGCACAACTAGAAATTGGATATGCTGAGGAGGAAAAATTTAGGTTAGCCTTGTGGAAAATTGATAAAAGAATTTTAAATAAGACTGAGAAGTGTCCTTGTGGTCTCCTTGTCTATTTTAAGGCTACATATGAGCATGCTGAATTACAAACAGATAAGTTGCCTATAGCACGTTTGAGGTTGGACAAGATGCTCAAAGATGTACAAGAGTCTTACTGCCACCACCAGCATGAGGCCTTATTAGCTCACTATCAGGTTTGTATTTGATAAAATAACTATATTTTATTCATCTAGAAATAAAAAATGCTATATATGGTATAGATGTCATGGCCAGATCATAGAATTGATCAATTTATGATATACAACAATTTTGTGAAATGGCTGGCCATGTCATGAGATGATCATTTTCTATGTCCCTAATATTTTTTTTATTTACCTTCAATCTCCCTAATATTTTTTTTATTAGGGACATTGAAGGTGCATCAATTAAATTAGACGGAGAGCTCATGCCAAAATAGCAAGATTTTTCTGTCATTTGATACTTCAGTATTTGAAAATACTAAGATAATACACTTCTTATCATCATATGACAATTACTAAAGTTTTGGTAATGTAATATGATGTCAATTACCATTTGAATTTGTAGATGGTTGCTTTCCCAGGACTAAGTCCTGGGTCAACACCCAGGACTAAGACTTGTTACCTTGCTTGTTTCAGACTTTTCTTTATTTGGGATATGAGCACTGTATGAGATATTATCTAATATTTATTTAAGTAGTCACAGTGTAGAAGAATAGCAGAAGGCACAATTTAATGTTTTTTTTTTCTATACTACATATTTTATTTATAGATTGAAGAGTTTATATCAGAAACAGTGAAGAGTCACAAAGGTGAAATCCGCGAAGCTCTCACATTAGTGTTGCAAGCATTGAAGATGTGTGATAATACACCGCCGATGTTGGCAGCTGCTCTGGAACGTTGGGCGCGCGCGTTGTCTATGGCATTGATCGATCAACGCGATTTGAGTCAGCTCTTATTTCTCATACACCATTTGTTTAGGTGGGTGATTTTTCTTAAAAAAGAACACAGAAAGGCTTTGGAAGGGCTAAGCCTGGATAAAGGTTGAGCGTTGTATGCATTAGGTATAGGTATCGCCTATAATGTGATACTATCACTGTTCAGTTGTACAAATGAACTTGTGTGTGTTTATTTGTATTAGTAAAGTGGAACAGTGGTGGTGTTAGAAGTGAGGATATTTCCTTATGTAGTTGTGTATGTTATCACTATTCTAACTTCTTACGTCTCTCGTTGGCTGAATGCAATGAGACCTTCATCATATGTCACCAAACGCTCTTGTAGACATCGGATTGACTTTTTAGTGTGGATGTGGCAGTTTGATCTACATACTAGATTGTGGATCGGTCAGGTGTGTGTGTATATATGGTTAATTGAGTACCATGCGTTATGAGCTAGGACCAATGTTTTCATATACGTGGTATCCACTGAAGATACACTGTTGTTAAATTACTTTAGGTTATATAACACGTTTAGAACTTGTCCATTAAAAGAGCTTTCAAATTCATTGCCGCAAATGTTTTATTTATATAAAATACTATTCCTTACCAACAAGTAACGCTTAGCAAGATGTGTTTAATAGGCGCGTATCTTTAGTTTTTACTTTAAGCTAATATGAATTAGGTTAGTTACTCATATCGTATGACAACACCTCCAAGACTTTCATGCCGCATATAAACTTTGGTAAAAACAAAAAGAGCAAACATCATTTTCTACTTGTTTGCATTTTTGTTCAACCAATTTATGTTTTACAATTGTAGACAAACCCGGTCGATACGGTGGGCGGCAAACATAATAACATTGAACGTAACGGACAGTGTGAGCGCAACCAGAGCTGTCGCCATTCTAGATTTATTGTTAGCGAGAACAAAAATTGATTCCGCCATAGAATGCGTTGAAGGTGAGTCTGATTTCTTTATTAATGGTAAAATAATATAGAATAAATTAATATCACATACACTGCTCAGATTCCAAAAAGAGTAGTTAAAGTCCCAGTATTATGGAGGATCTGACACAACGAGATACCCTCAACACCCAAACCTTAGACAATATAGGAAAGTTTCATTTTCTAAATTTTCCCGACCGGGTATTGAACCCGGGACGTCAAGGACGGGGACACTATGAAACCGGCGTACGAATCACTCTGCTACGGAAGATAATATAGTTTACAAAAATAATGTATTCTAGATGTTTTGTTAGCATTTATGTTACGTGGCTGCAATTGTCAAGCTACTTTAGCAAAGGCCAGTCATTGGATGGGTGACCGAAATTTAATTATTCGAGCTTCTCTGTGTTTCACGTTCAGCTATTGGTTCAGACTGCAGTCGAGATGGCAGACTTGAGATTACAATTTTCGGTGACCCATCCGATGATCGTCCTTTGAGAATATCGCTTAACACCCTCATTTGCTAACCACTGTGCTATCTGATCATCAACAGCAATAGGGATGTCAACTAATTTTGTTTATCCATCAGATTACTGAAGAATATTGAATACGTATTTTTTTTTTTTTGCGTAATCAATACAATAATCTACAAAACTGTGACGTAGCGAGCCCCCACTACTCAACTTCAATGCCTATTATATATTCAATGCCATTACTTGTTAAATTGAAGCAAATTTTTCTTTTATATGACTGCTGGACTAAATAGAATGTCTTGTTTTTTACCCAGACAATAATCTATTATTATGTTTTAAATATAGATAAAGAGGATGCATGGGAGGAAGTGGATAAGGATGGAATCGGTGGTGCTGTAAGCGAAGGCAGCCTCCGAGAGCGCGATCTCCTCGCGTTACTGAGGATACTGCCGATGAGGGATATAGTGGCTACAATACTACGCTTACATCAGGTCAGCTTAAAAATTCTAATGGTTTCTTGTGACGCATTCAGGGCTCTATCTAGCTAGTTAGCTGTTCTGGGCGAATTAATTACTCTAGGCATCTAAACCAAAACTACATCATAAGAAGAGGCGAAACCCATATTTAATAGTTTTTCTTTAAAATGAACATAGGTTAAGTATTTGCTCGTAAAATGGGGTATTTTACTCTGTTTGAAATAATACTTGTAAACGTTTATTTTAATTTAGAAACTCATAAAACAAACGTTTCGGAAAAATAAACACACAATAAAACAGTTTACTTGCCTTAAAATTAAATTTTAACTTTTTTTTTATATCCGTTAAAACGCTTTCCTTTACATTCATGACGTCACTGTGATATGTACACAAAACAGATACATAGAGTATAAGATTTAATTATATAAAAAAAACAAGAACAATGCCATCTCACGATCGATTACGAAATAAAAAGATATAATTAAGCTTTATAATTAAGCCATCTAGGAATTTGATTTAAAATTAATTGGCATATCTTTATGACTAATCCGACAGCTGTCGCCACAATGACGTCACACAATGGCGGGTCGTGTTACGAGTCACGTGACACGCAGACAAAATAAATCACGTGGTTTAATTTTCAGATAATAAGGTAATCGTGCGAAATTTATTTTATGTGTAATTTCGTGACTTATTTTTCACTACCGTAGTTATCTATTCAATTTGTCGCTGTATACCGTCCAATGAAAATGAGCCTCGTTAAGAATTAATTGTTACGATGTTGGTGGTTGGTTACTCGCGACAGGTGGGTGATTCACGCGGGTACCAATGGCAGGATAGTGGCGGGGAGGGCATGGTCCGTGCGTGCAGCGGTGTGCGGCTGCTGCTGCACACGCTGTACCGCGCTATCGGCGCGCACGCGCGGTACACGCGGTTACAGCGCACGCTGCGCGGTGTGGCGGCGGCCGCGCTAACAGCGCTCGCGGCGCTGCACCAACACGCGAGGCAAGCTTTATTATATGACTACCGCCAAGGAAAAAGACGATAGGGTCAACAATAAGATAAAAAAAAATATTGTGTGTGGTTAAAAACTTCACAAAGTTTAAAGATGATACGTCGAATACTTTTGCTAAATATTAATTGTTTATAATTTTAAATTCTAATCTGTGTTTCACATCAAACGAAACACCAATCAGAGCGCGTGACGTTATTTGTTGATAAATTGGTAGAATAACTATCTACTTAAATCGCGGAAAATATTCAAAATGTAAAACAATTTTAATGATACACTGAATTAAAAATTCAGTTACGAGGGTCATTTTTGTGTTTTATTTATTTATGAGTTTGACTAAAACCGCAATATATGATAATTGTTTTTTTTTTCACTGAAAATTCCTTTGGTTTACCTCATAAATGACGTCACGTGCCCTGAGCCACCGTTTTCGTGGTTTTTACATTAGTAATAAGGTTAAATTAGTAATATTTTTTTAGGAAATAAGTATCCATATTGATTAATTTAAAATATTTTTATGAAAGTTGTCGTATCCCTGATTCTGATTTTAACAGACTATTTATTGTTCATGTGTGCCGTCCTACCTAGCTATTGTTAAAAGGAAAAATATCGATTGCTACTAGAAGCACTAATATTATGGATCTCGATATTAGTTGCTACTGGCACTGATTTTTGCTCCGTTTTCGCGCCAGTATACTTCAGGATTGTCATTCTTTTAAACTAATGGAATCGACATTGTAACTTGAATAACAAATTAAGTAGATAATTGAATAGTAAAATGTTCTTATTACTACATTTCACGATTTAGATTGTACTTTGGTCGTCCGCTGGTTATAGAGTTATGACGTCACATTTTATTGAATAGTGCTCTCTATAGGATACAAAGTTACGTACAGTTTCTTTACATATTAACTATTCAGCGATTGTTTGAAGCTTATACAAATTTGTTTACTATAATATGACATAATTATATTTCCCAAGGGGTTCCTATACTGCGGCATTGGAAGAAAAAGTGTTAGGCGAACTTCAAGCGGTCTTTCTGAGTGGACTAGAGATTATGGGCAATGATTTGTGTGATGTGCCCGCTTCACTTCTTGCAACACATACTGCTAGAGATTACTGTGTCGGACATATGCTTGCTGTGGAGAAACACGGTGGTGAGCGATACTATGTACTATGTTCTAATATTAAGCTGCACTACTCTTGCACTTGTACTATCATTGTTAATAGGTATCTATTCAATATCTATCTATGAAAAATTATAAATGCATGGTACTCGCATGTTATATATATGCAGTATGTAAGGGGTCCGAATATTCAAAATTCTGAAATTAATGTTTTAAACCATTGCGAATAAAATTAAATACAAAGTAACTTATTAAAATTTTCTTAAATGTTATTGAGTCTATTTTTATAAAAAGAAAAGTGTGTGGCAAGTTGCAATGTACCTAAAGTGGACCAGGTTGTAGTTGGCATGTATATCGCTTTTAGTTACGATCACATTGGTGATGATAACAGTGGGTATGAGTACAGCCCTTTATTTCGTCTTCACAGCAGGGGCTCAGTCCTTCCTTATGGATGGTTAAGGAGCATGGGCCATGACCTTCCACGCTGGCCCAATGCGGATTTGCGGGTATTAACGACTACAAATGTAGCCGGGACCAACAGCTTCACATGTCTTCCGAAGCACGGAGTAGCTCGAAATAATATTTTATTGGTCACCCATCCCGTGACCGACCCTTGCGAAAGTTGCTTAACGACAACGCTCACATGCCGCGGCGCTTATCCACTACGCCACCGAAATACTGATGTGCGTAGAGCTATTATGGGTATGTTCCGATATACACTGCGAGCACTGCGCAGTGGTCTTACTGCTGAAAAATCCGTTTCGTTATGGACTGCCAGTACACTGCTAGTACCCTAGGGAAATTTATGACGTCATAAATTGCCGCCATATTTGTACTGTGAGCACTGGAGATTTCGAGGTAAGGTGCTCGCAGTGCTTTTGATCACGTGATCAGTCGAAACAGAATCAGAAAATGATAAGTTTCTAAATAAACAAAAAAAAATATTTATTTTTATTTATACGATGGATTTAATTGATAAATATTTTTTTTTATACAATTTTCCAATTTTCTTTTGAAAGGAGGGAATCTTTATATTTATATTCACCTTGCATTAACAAATTTGAAAATGGCGCCAAAAAATAGGATTAACTGTATACTGGACTGCGTTCCGTTTTAAAAAGTCACCAATATAACTAGCTATAAAGGTATACTAAATTGACGTCATACTGTTCAGTGGTCGCAGTGTATATCGGAACATACCCTATATCTGTTCACCACTGACGTAAATATAATCTGTAACTATTTAGAGTGGAGGTCACAGCGTATCGAGTCGTTGTCGCTAGACCTGCCGCGCGTGTCGTGCGACGTGCGCGTGCGCGTCGTGGCGCACGCGGCGATGTCGCGACGCGACGACTACGAGCTCGCGCGCTTAGTGTTGGAGTTTCTGTTCCAGGTGTGTAAACACTTATGTGATTGGCGTTGTACAATTTTCTAATATATAACAGTATTTATTTGGTCTATTTGTTTATATAAAAATATCTAAGCTGGGTCTGGTGCCAGGGATGGGATCTGATAACGTTCGCTAGCCGGTTGATTGCTTTCTTTCTGTATCTCGGTCGCGGCACCAGAGAGTGATGATTGTTTAAAGTATCTTATCTATGCAAAGTATAAAACAAAGTCGCAGTACAGTGGGACTGTGTGTGCGCTGAGACCTTTTTAACTACAGAACGGATTTTAATGCAATTTTCAAGGATTTCTTTTAATTCAAGAGAATTTTTATATTAAGGGCCTCGGCAGTGGTCCGCCAAGAAGAACCAAACAAAAAAAGCGTAAGGGCACTACCTACTTTTTGCCGAAATGCTTTGTCGGATTATTTGACCCTCATAACTTATGTTTGGATTAAACTAGATACATAAAATTTTCGGGATGCAGTCCCAGTAACAAAATACGGAAAACTAATATAATCATATTTATATATAAAAACTTATAATTCATTAAAAACACTCGACAAGCTCAGTTAAGTGTTCGTGATAGAATCCCATAACTTTTCCTTAACCGGTTCTCTTACCTTTGTCTCGGTCGGGGTACTAGAGATTGTCGAATGTTTTATGTTGTATTTACTAGCTATTTTCCAACGTTTTCGTTATGTCACCCGCGATTCGATGTAAAAAAAAACACACAATCAAGTTTTTCCTCCTTATAATATTAGTATGGGTGAGATAATTAATGTTTTATTTGGTGTAAGGTGGGTGTGCGGCGTAATAAGACGGATGAGTGTAAGGGTGCATGCAGACTGGCCGCCCAGAACTGTTTCCTGGGTGTGTTGTCAGCTCATCCGTATCTGCACGCACTCGCACTACATCTCGTCGCGGAAATCAACCCAGGTATTTTTTACTTTAACTATGTATACATGCTTTTCTTTTTGAATTCAAAAATTATTACTTAAATGGCGAGTCTTTATTTAACAATATTTTCAAATAAAGACTTGTCATTCTTTGTATTTTACATAAAGGTGAGTTGCAAAAGCAGTCCTTAAAGTCACGCCATCCATTCATTAGGTACTTGAAATAACTTATTGTTAGTAGAACGGTCAAGGTAGTAGAAAATCATATGAATAGATGAAATTTAAAGCTTTACGATATAAATCAGTAGAGTGGTTCGCACGTCAGTTTTAAGGTGTCGCCATCTCTAAGGTCCCGGGTTCGATTCCCGGTCGGATCAATGTAGAAAATGAACTATATTGTTTCGGGTCTGTGTGTTGTGTTACCTTCGTTGTCTCAGATACTTCATAATACAGGGGCCTTCAGTTACTCATGTTGTGATGGGTTCGGTGCTTGGGTCAATTAATAAGGCTGATTAGCTTGAGTAAATATTTATTAATTGTAAAAGGTAAATAAGAAACTGTAACAAACAAAAATAAATTTAAAAAACAGTTCGTAAGTTACTTAACTAATACATACTTATCAAATAAACGAATACATACCCCTTGTCGGGCTTCTAGTTAAACTCTTGGATCGTCCAAAATACAGATTACAATTTAGTTCATATGTTATATAATTTGTATCACCATATCACATTCTTTATCACAATCAATGAATTATTTTAAAATTACATTATAAAATTTATACCATTAATATTAATATGTATAATAATTTTCATGTTGTGCATAGGAGAATTTCTTACGAACTGACATCCATAAAGAGTATAATTGATTAGTCAAAATTTTAAATTACGAAAGACGAGTAATAAAATGAAATGATGTTGAATTTCAAAAACAAAAAGTTTGTATACTGAAGCCTAGGAAAACAAACGGTGGCATGGCACACCGTTACAATGTTAGAATTTGAGCAATGTATGTGATATTATTTATTTATTAATAAACAAACTGTTGGGTACCAAACATCTCTCACACTACAATGGGGTCACAACTCTTTGGTAAACTGCGACTGAGCAGGAATAGTGGAGTGTCGCATCGAAAAGTTTGTAAATCACACCGTTTAAATAATATATATATATACTATATGAAACGTTTTTTCCTGTAGTTGAGAAATTGGACACCGCGTCTGTAGAGTGCTTATCGATTGGCACCTGGCGACCGCAATGTGGAGAAGTACGCATCGTATTGGACGCGTGGGGGCAGAAATGTCCGCATCTGTTGCCATCACTTCTAACCATGTTAGATTGTACACCTCATCTGTGAGTATACATTCTGCATTTTAACAATCTTATGTAGGAAATAGAGTTTACTTTTGCCATTAATGTAGTCTATCATTAAAATTTTCTGAAAGCTTACTTATACGACTTTTCCTTCTAACCACCCAACATTTATCTTATTGTTAGAATTTCCAATTTTTTTTAGACAACTGAATACATGCACTAATCACTTTAAGCAAAATCATAAAGAGTAGGGCCCCAAAAAACACCCTTGAAGAACACCTTTGTAATGTATTTTGGTAAGACTATACTTTTACCGTTATTAGCTGTCGTATTTATTTTTGTGTCCTCCTATTGAGTAGTGAGACGTGCTATTAATTTATTATTTGCTGAAAAACCTTCTATAATTTGTATTATTAAATTTTATTCAGTTGTTTGGGTCGAAGGCGTTGGTATTAACATTTTTTGTTATTGCTGTAATAATAATAAAAAAAGGGTATAAGTAGCGAACAAATATTTTTAGTTAAAATCGTACTTAAAGGTAAGTACAAATCACAGATAACCTCCAATAGATGCCGTATGAAAGACAGTAAGCTGTAGCCTATGATTCTGCATAGATCGTTTTAACAAAAATAGTAATACGCGTAAGTAAATCCTCAGTTACCATCAAGTGTTCGATCTGTGAATATATGCTTTGACTAGAAGAGTTTTCTTTATAATAAAGTAGTTATTAGGTTAAGTTAAAGTTGTAGTGCCAACTGGTGTGGAAAGAATTCCAAAACATATAATTACAAGAAAGATGGTATAACTTTTCACCAGTAATATTATTTGTATTTTTATCTTGCGGAGTTCAAGTTATAGTGGACAATTAAAAGTAACTTTATAAAAATGCAACACGCGTTGATATCTTCTTGAAACTCATCTCTTTCTCTCTACAAAATTTTAATACTAGTATCGCTACTGCATGCCTTTTCTAGGTATGATCGATATCGATATTTCCATACGTAAACATTGATTGGTATTGTTACTATTACAGGAAAAAAATGTACTCAGTGCGCAAATTAGTACACAGAAAATACTCCGAGGTTAATAAAAACTATTTATATTTGAAACTTTTGCATTTTTCGTCAATATTAACCCCTTTTTGAAGATTTAACTTGAAAAATTCGTCAGTCCTGTTAGGTCCTGGGTAGCGGGCAGTCGCCCGGATTGCGAAAGGTCATGGGTTTGAATCCCATCTCAGAATGCCAGAGACAAAGTGGATCTTTTTAAGCATTTTTCATTAAGAACTTGAGTTAGTAATAAAAACGAAGTCTTGAATGAGCGTCAGATGAAACGATACAAAACAGTTGACTTTTTTCATTTAATAGTAGAAGACAGAATTTCGTTCTCGTCATTCTATTGTAACTTTGAGTGAAAAAGACACTGAAAAACTACACAACGCTTATTAGTAAGGCTTGTGATATTATTTTGGTTCATAGGGGTGTATCGTTAGAGAGTCAGCTGGCTATCGGGTCGTGGTTATGCGAGTACGTGGGTGCTCGGGGAGGGGAAGTGGAAGAGTGGTGTTGGAGAGTGATGCGTCGCCTGCGCATCCATCGCGTGTACTGGCGGCAGGGGTGGGACGCACCGCCCCCCTCTCCCCACCCCACGCATTTGTTCGCGCATGCTCACGCGCTAGCTGCTAGCTCCTGGGGACATTGTGTACCGATGGTGAGTAGTGTCCAAAGCGTACATTGAGTATAGGGGTGGGGAGACTCGATCACTAATGCCTCAAATATCAAACAGATTTACACACAGAACATAGAGAGAGAATAGAAGTAGTAAGTGGGCGGGGCACGCGTCGCTGGCATATGCGCTTTTACTCATATGACGCCCTTTCCTCGGTTTTATGTTTGCCAGTCGTTCGTCAATCGTCGAGTGGTGATTTTACAGATTTTTTCTATAAAAAATGCCGTTTTGTGCTATTATCACTTGCAAAAAGCAAAGCTAAGTATACAATCTAACTAATGCAAACATTTCCTTTCACTGGTAAGTACAATTTTAGTGCTAAAATATAAAAAACGTAATAATTTGACACAATGTTAAATAAAATATACATTGATTGCTCAAACCAACATCAATGTTTCTGACCCCATTACTAAACAGCAATATAAATCATTTTGTGCACTTTTGCAAAAAATAGTGCTGTGCCTCCATTTGTCTGAAATGTACCGATAGGCTGCTGCTGCTCGGAATCGTATTGTTAATTATATGGATCGTAATCGATAATTAAAACATATTTATTTAGAGCTTTTCTTTCATCATTTCATAACAACGTTATCGATAAATATATGCCATAATTATATAAAACTAAAAAATACTCTTTACAAGGGAAAATTATAGATGAACTGATACTGAACAAATGAAATAATGAACTGTCCAGGCACTTTTTTTACGAAGATTCGGTTAATTATTTACACGCAGATAAATATTAAAAATTACTGATGTGCTATAAATATCTAAGTTACGAAGTATATCACCGTTTTATGAACAATACATAAATTAAACGAAACTTCGTGAAAAGCTAAGAGTTGGCCTAATAGGTCTTGTTAGAAACTGGTGAAACTGGATTTCACTTATTTTGCATTACTTATATTTCAGTTTCCCTAATAACTTTACAACGGATTGCCTTGTTTACATAATTAATTTTGCCCTATCTGTTTTAGACCTAAACCTATCAAATGAATTTCAAAACAACATAATATCTATACAAACAAAAAATTATGTTTTCAACTAACGTAATATTGTTGGTGGTGTGAATTTAATTTACAAAATTAATTTTTAGGCGTCAATATAATTTACCTTATTATGCTGATTCATAATCCGAAACTATTATTATAGAAATCGAGTTAAGAAAGCCACTTTAAAGAACCGCCTACAGATCAGCTTTTATCAGTTTTTTTGTTGCTCCATATTGCACATAAGTTTATAGACGCATGTCTCAAACGGATGTGACTTTATATGTAGATTGACGTTTGTATGTACTTATCGCTTTTGTGTCTATCTTCAAACTTTTTTTGTCACGGCTTTCAAACTCATACTTGACCAGCAATTCCTTATTGTCCAGTCGTTGCAATTAATAATGTAGCTACTACTATTATTACAGATATAAAACTTAGAATAATAAAGTAAAACAAACATAGCTATGATCAATTTATTAGTGTAATGATCATATTAGTTATTATGAAATGAAATGAAAATATTTTTATTCAAGAAGGCTATTACAAGCACTTGGAATGGCAAGTTTATATTTATTTCTACTTTTTTTTGTGAAGGAATCGTAATGTTTTCTTGCGTACATAATATTTTCATTGATGTATTGAGAGGTAACAGTCAAAATATTTATTTCTTTAAATATTTCTCTGAGAGATTCTCTAGACCGTAAATTATATATAGCGTGGACAACTCTCTTTTGTAGAATAATAATGCTAGCCGCAGAACCCCATAACAATAGATTATACGTCATTCATTACACTATGAAAATAACTAAAATATACCAATCTTGCCGTTTCAACATTTGTTAAGAGTCTAATTTTCTTAACAGCAAATGCTGCAGAACTCAGTCTACTTGACAAATTATTATCAATATACCAAAATACCAAGGAACTTTGTCGATTCCACCAACTCAACTTTTTCACTATTTACATTTATAAGTATATTAACATGCCTCACATTAGGTAATGCAAACTTTATGTATTTCGTTTTATTTGAATAAAGCTTTAAATAATTACTATCAAACCACTGTAGAAAATTGTCGAACTGAATTACATTGAACTGTTTCATAACAAAATTTAAAGCTCTTATTTTATCAACTAATATGTCACATCACTAATATGCACAAGCGGAATGATACCAGTAAGAAAAAAATACAAATTAGGCTTAATGTAATTAATACAAAAATTCTGTTGTTTTCTTAATTTTTGTTTTTTTTACACTTTCCCTCGCTTAATTATATTACTCCACAGACATACGATAGAGTGTATCATTAAGTTTTCTTAGTTTTTGTACTGCGTTTCTTAAAAGATATTTTAATAAATTATGTAGGGAAAAGCCTTCATTTTTCAGTATTCACTTGGTTACAGCTTAATCTAATATTAATAGTTCGCACATAAAATGATGACCCCAATTTTTTTAAATGTGCATAATCTTAAAATATTTTTTTCCTTCTGGTATCCCCATATACAGCCACGTGACAGTTCAACATTCATGTTAAAGTAAATTATTTATTATCACGTTGAATTAGAGTTTGTTTTTAATCGTGTGATTTCTTAGCTTAGTATCTTTTTGGGATTTGATTTATGTTATCGCGAACCTATCGCGTGGCGGTTTTTCATGTAGTGAACAAAATGATCATTTCATCTAATCTGTATTTGTGTGCGGAGAGGCGACACTCGGTTCCCATACTAAATTAATATCATTATACTTCTAATCTCTCTCTATGTTCTGTGGATTTACACGTATTTACAATTTTGTGTCTTATTGTATTTGAGGTGAAAATACGAAAAAATGTGTCAATTTGAGGCGAAAAGACGTTTTTGTCCAGTAATCCATAGCAAAGATATAATTTATGATTGTGGCATTGAATGGTCTTCTATATAACTCTGTGTAGTCTATTATTCAAGTTTTTGAAATTTACTTATACAAATTTTTCTTCTAACCTTTTTTTCAATTTCCTATTTTTAGGCAAATAGAATACATCCACTAATTACTACATGTTGTAAGTCATTAAAGTAAATCACAAAGAGTAGGGCTCTAAAACACACCCTTGAAGAACACCTTTATAGTTTGTTTTTTTTGGAACACTACACTTTTAACATTGTTAGTTAACGTAATTAATTTTGTGATCTCCTATTGAGTAATGAGACGTGCTATTCATTTATCCATTTAGAAAAAACGTATAATTTCTACTATAAAATTCTAATTCAGTATTGTTTCGGTAAACATTTGTAAACATTTTTTATTATTGTTTCGTGAAGATCTGCTCTGATGGTGTGGAGTCTTTATATAAGTTGGCGACAACGCGTGCGCAGGATGCTCTGCACTATCTCTTTCCGATCATGCTGGTGCTCGCACAATCGCCCGAGTCTGTATCAACAACGCCCAGGTAACTTTTTCAATTGTTTTCAATTAATGCAAATTTAAAATGAATTTTTATTTGAGTTTTAATTTTTACAAAATATGTGACTTTTTATTTGAGATTTTTAAATATATCCGATTAACATATCTATCGGATAGAGAGCAATTTTTTGAAGTGTTAAATTTAAATGAGTACTATAATGAGACTTCATTCAGATCTCAAAGGGGTACACAACTCCCACAAGGCAGTATTTTCAGATCTCAAATGGGTACACAACTCAGGTGTCCCACAAGGCAGTATTTTAGGTCCAACGCTCTTTGTAATACCTATGATTCTGTAGTTGAATGTAATCACCATATCACTGATACTGGGTCTGGCATTATAAATTGGTTAGCACGAAATAATTTACAAATTAATTTGAATAAAACTAAATATCCAATTTCATAACCAGAGAAATGAAAGATCTGTCATCTTAGTTAGCCATAACGGACAATTAATTGGTGAAAGAAATGAGGTAAAGTTTTTGGACATACTACTTGATAGGCATTTGACATGGATGTTGTATATACAAAATGTGTGTTGTAAGATAAATAGGTTTTCATATGTTTTGTGGCGTCTACTAAATATATCTGATATAAACAGCATTAGTAGCATACCATGGATATGTGGCGTCCATTCATAATCTGGGGTAACTCAGTCGATATAGATAGAGTGTTTAAAGCCCAAAATAAATATATACGTTCAGTACAGAAGATTTCATCAGCTTTTAATGTCATAGCGATTCGATGATGTGCAATTAAGTCCTTTGAATGTGTTCAGGTTCCATTTGCAACCTTTCATGCATGACAAGTTGTAAGCCTTATGTTAAGAAATTGTAATTGTTATCATTGCCGTCCATATATATCTTTTAAATAAAAAAAATGTGATATGTTCCATGATAATTCTGGAAGATATTACTTTATAGTCACTCTATAGTGGTAGTTACGTTATGATGGCAGTGAGAATTTACAATATAACTACCTAGGGCAATAGTGAACTTGTCAATAAATTTATTTAAAGGTAAACTGTACCGCTTCTTTTGGATAAATGTTTATGCAGTGTGAATAAATATTTAGCAGATAATTTATGACAGGTAATAGTTTTTGTTTATCGATTTTATGACATAGTTATATTTATTAAGTGTGAATTTTAGGTTGCTTAATAGACTTCCTATATTGTTTTAATTGTGTTTTGACATTGCCGATGAATTATTTAACTAATATTTGAGTGAATAACCATTGACATGTATTTATTTCGAATCTATTGTTCGTGCTCCCCTTATTTAATGCAATCATAATTTCTTTTAAACATAAGTTAATTATATATTTTGCATGCCTGTTAAGACTAAACACGCGAAGCGCTATTTTATTACTGACCATAACATATAAAAATAATCCGTTGGCAAATTAAAGTATTTCACTTCATTATTTCACTCAGAAACATACTCGCGAAGTCGCTTGTTTTTGCTGTCGTATTCAGTACACTTGATCACTGAAAGAATGCTAGAACGGGCGCTACTTTTGTTATCACTTCAAAAATAATGATCTGTTTATGTTTCTAGGTTCAGGGATTTATTTACGTTATTAATAAACGCGGGCCCTGGACTCTTCCAACGAGCACTGGGACGAGGCGGAGCTCCCGGTGCTGACTCGTTGCTGCGTCTAATGCTGGAACAACTGAAGCACGAAAAGTGAGTCTTAAGTTTACCAGAGAGTTGCAGTTAGAAATACAATATTTTGCTAAACATTATTTACGATCTCAAAGCACAATGAGACTACAATAGTTTAATCCGGATTGCTCTCTTGGTGTTATTCAGTGCCTTACATTTTTTCGATAATTTGTATTTATCTCAAAGTCTACACTAGACTTTTAGACGAAGACTCGGGGGTTGTTTATTATAAGCATGAGGGTTCGAAGGGTCGGTCGTGATAGGGTATTCTACTCCGTTTGATTAAAAAAAGGCATCAAAACAAATATTTCGGTAAAATAAACACGTTCTCTTGCCGTAAAATTCAATCGATATTTATACTTTTTTTACACCCGCGAAAACGCTGACCGTATTCATGACGTCCCTTTAATATGTACACAAAACAGATGCAATAGAGTAGAAGATTAAAAGATGTCAATATAACAAGAACAATATTATCTATCGATCGATTACGAAATCAAAGTATATAAAAAAGCTAAGAACAGCGCTATCTAGGTATTTGATTTATAATTAAAAGGAATATTTTTTTTTGACTGAACTGACAGTTGTCGCCACAGTGACGTCGCACAATAGCGAGACGTGTTTCAAGTTACGTGACACTTAAACAAAAAATCTCGACTTTTGTGTGTGTGTCACGATTTTTAATTTTAAAATATTAATCGTGCGATTTTAAGACTAAAAATCAGAATCTCTATGTTTATAACTATGTTACCTATCTTAGAGTGCCAGGGACCGAGAGGATTTTTTAAACATTTTGTGTTGAGAATATATGCTAGTTATTTTTCACTACCGAAACTACCCTACTTATGAATCGTTATTAGTTGCGGCGGCGTGTCTCGCGCTGACATCGAGAGCGTTTGGTTGGCGGCGCTGTGGCGCGTGGAGGGGGGGGCCGCGCTGCTGGACGCCGCGCTGCTGCGGCCGCCGCCATTAGACTCGCTCACGCGACACGCCACCTGTCTGGCGTGCGCGCAGGTAACATCATCATCATCATCAGCTCTTTTTACGTTACCACTTTTTTTTATGGGATAGAGGGCAGACGAACAGACGGATCACCTGATGGTAAGTGATTACCGTCGCCCATGGACACCTGCAACACCAGAGGGGCTACAAGCGCGCTGCCGGCCTTAGAGGGAAGGGTTGAGGGGTAGAGGGAAGGGAATAGGGAGGGGTTGGGCCTCCGGTACCCTCACTCACACGACGAAACACAACGCAAGCGTTGCTTCACGTCGGTTTTCTGTGAGGCCGTGGTATCACTCCGGTCGAGTCGGCCCATTCATGCCGAAGCGTGGCTCAGGCCTTCCTTATGGATAGCTAAGGAGGATGGGCCAAGACCCTCTACGCTGGCTCAATGCAGATTGGAGGGTATTAAGGACGCAAATGTATCCGAGACCAACGGCTTAACGTGCCTTCCGAAGCACGGAGTATCTCGAGATAATATTTTTTTGGTTACCCATCCCATGACCGACCCTTGCGAAAGTTGCTTAATAATGACGGGCGCGGGCCACGGCGCTTATCCACTACGTTACGTAGCTGCTCCTCAAACAAGTATAACTCATACGAATTACGTAACCGTGATGGTTATTCAGTTCAATTTACAGACGATGTATTACTGTTGTCGCTGTGACAATAAATACTAGAAAACAGAATAAATAATTATTCGGTTTCTTCGGTCCCATCCCTTCCCGTAAAGTACGCATGAAAATAAACATCTGGTGGCGGCTTGAATTAAAAAAGTGTGTAAAATAACATAAATTATTATATATATTTTTAATTATCAATATATAACCATTATAATCGATGTATAAAGACGTATGTTTCTAAAGTAACAAACCAATAATCACGCGTTTTAAAGTAGCATACTTTCTTTCTCGCCATTTTTTCTCCCGATCTACACACGATTTTAATATTTTCTTTTTTTTTTGTGGAAATATTAACATTGCTCCTGTTTTTCTTGTTATATAGATAGATTACTGAAAAAAGACATTTATATTTTTATTGACCGCTGGCTTGCGAACCTCGTAATAGGCTCGCGGGAACGGCGTGTCACGTGACCAAATCCTCTTAAGGGCCGTGGGACCAGATAGGTTAAGGTCTCCCATCAAACATGATCTTTTCGCTTCGTACGCGAGCCTAATTCGCACTTGCCCGTTTTACTTAAAAACTAATTGACTTCGCACACGTTGTGCAGGATGACGATTCTCAGCGACAGCTACTGTCTGCCACAAAATGGTACAGTGACGCGCCGCTGTTGTGCGAGAGCGCGCTGCGTGCGTGTGCGCAGCGCGAGGTGCACGCGCGCGTGCTGCCGCGGCTGCTGGACGCGCTGCACGCTCAGCGCAGGCGCGGCGCAACGGATACACGTCGACAACGCGCTTAAGGTGATATAGATATTATACGTTAACGTACAACACCTCACACGGAACGAAATTCTATTCTATAAATTTTTTTCTTGACCAAATCTTAGTATTTGTTTTTATGTAGTTCTTGTACGTTCTATCGACCTACATTTTATTTGTATACAGTCCACATTCAACTCGCGTCTCATCAAATAGTATTTAAATAACAATCCATTACGCAATAAAGGTTATTTTTATATTATAAAGTTTTATCACTCAATATAATTCTGGTATGTGGTCATATATCCCCATACATCAAATTGGTCCTTCGAGCCGGATATGATAGCATGTGTATATATTATTTATTTATTTATTGTATGTATTTATATATTTATGTTCGTAATTATGTTCGATATTGATCGTTAATAGCGATAAGACCGCCTTTGCCCAATTTAACCATAAAGTTCCTCGTAAATTGTTATTACTACGTGTGCAATAAAATGTTGATCCTTCAATTTGATCACATCACTCGGTTTACCTGTGCGTCTGTTTGTAATAGCTGATTTTCTCCAAAACATCGAATGCTATTTGTTTATTGTGTAGTTTAAGTTTATTCGATCTAATAGCCATTGTTAATAGTTAGCAATTAAAATAAATTTTATTAGTAGGTATTTAGTAATGGAACTGTTAGGTTTATTAATTTTTTATAAATTTGAAATGACTTTTGATTTCCTAAATAAATAAAATATAAAGTAAATTTATATTTCTTTCTCCGAAAACGTTTACTCACTACTAGACATGGTTCAATGTAACATTCCTTGAACCTACTAGAAGCGAGCCGTCGAGCTTGGTTCAAGTGTAGTTAAGTGAACAGACTTAATTTTGTCGAACAATAGATGAATGCGGAACGTGTGTATGTAAATCCGTAACCGGACTTTTACTCAACAATTGCTCGATCGAGTAAAATCTAAGTACAGTGCAATAATTTTCAACTCATGTTCTATCATCGTCCCGTCATTTGTGTTTCCAGAAGTCTATTTTCCATTTTCATAACTGAAAATTTAATTTTATTGTTTGTCAACCCCGCAGTCGCTGGGTGTAACATTTAGTTCGGACCGCCTTACTATATACGGTGTGGCGGCGGCCGCGATGTCCGCGCCTGAATCTCATCCCGCCAGTGTTACAATATGGCGGTTATTACTACATCTCTATCTGCAACGTCCGCCCGTGAGCCCGTAAGTTTATTAAGCTATAAGCTACCTTCCTGCGACGTCATCTGCATAAATGATAGCCTATAATACCCACGTATGATGTAGCTTTTCGTAGGTGAAAGAATCTTCATGATCGGATAATTATTTCCAAAGATTACCCCATACGTACAAACGAAGTTAGAAAGAATCATGCCCACTTTCCATACATTGATTGACCTGTCACATGTTTTTTTATATGTCGTGTCTACCTACCATTAGTGATAATTTAAATTGGTTTTTGCTTAAAATAGAATAATATCTAAGCAGCTTTTCATCTGGAGACCAGGGATATTGTAGTTTGTAATTTTGAGGTTATAACAGCTGTCCAACTCGAGATAATTGTGAAGCTACTATAAATTAATACATTAAAATCAAATCTTTTTGATGTTTACTCATAAATATGGAAATAATATAAATTGTTAAAGTGCACTATTTTACCATAACATGAAATAATATTTTTTCGTATTACATGAAACGAAACGTAGCAAACCATCATTGGGTCCGAATCGCATTGAGCAAGTGTAGCAAACCGAGGGACCGAATCGCAACCGGATAGTTATCACAGTACAATTTAAAAATAATTATTAGTCTCGCAATTTATATCTTGACTTTATTTTAAGATTTAATCTCCTGATATGAAATAAGTAAAAAAATAAGCTATATTTTCAGATATATTAAATCACAAGGTGCTTCAGTAAATTTTTTGATCAAAATTGGACAGGATTCTTTAGAGTATTTTGAAATATCAAAATATATCGCATCCAAATAGCCGAGTCGAATGATCATTGTTTATATTGAACAACGTAGGTTTTTCAAATATACATGTAGTTGAATCATTATTATAAGTAGCGGCAGCATTTATAGATAGATTATTGTGTCATATGGTCGAATAATTCGCATTTAGATTCTGTGGGGTCACCATTTGTGTAATCTCTGTCTCTGTGGAATATATTAAAATCTATTATCTACTTTTCCAGTTTTGAAGACTATATTTATATTAAACATTGTTTTTATTTTTTCAGTGTAGGCTAACCCTACTACAGTTCGGTGTCATAAAGTCTTATAGAGTTATTTCAACTAGTTGTAATCTGTCATACACTTTTGCGGAGAATATATTAAAGATTATTTTCAATTTTCAGTGTAGACGCTACTCCTCCGGTAGGACCGTTGTTCTTCAGCGGTATCATAAAATCGCGAACTCTTGCGCAGCTCAAAAGATGCATATTGAAATTCATCCAGTACCACGGAAACAGAGCGAGCGCCTTGAAAACGAAACAAAGTAAAACAAAACTACAACCTGCGGTCAGAGCTAAGAGTGAACCCGTCGCAGTTGATAACAGTCTTACGAAGCCGTTATCGATTACCGATTTGATAGGTGTATCGAATGAGTCGAGCGATAGCGATACGGGTTCGTCGCAGGAGCAGAATGATGGTTCGGAGACTGATGTGATAGATGAGGATAGTAGTGAAGCGTCAGATGTTTGTCACTTGTTGGCTTATCATGTCGGTGCTGAAAGGTGAGTAACTAATTGTTTTCTATCACGGATGTTGTATACATATTTTTTTATAATTTTTAATCTTGCACACTAAAGATGTAGTAGTAATTAAATGGAATACACGGCGATTTGCTTTCGAATGTATAATTTAGTATGGATATATCTATATAAAAAAAAAAATGAATTTCCGTTCATTATATCTCCCTAAAACTCGACAACAGCTGAACCGATTTGACAAATTTTAGTCTTGAAATATTCGTGGAAGTCCTGGGAAGGTTTAAACGATGAGAAAATATGACAAAATTGCGAGTATAATACTAAAAACGATAATTTGATTTTCCCATACAAACTGTTCTTAGCTGTCAAACGTTCAGTTGACGATCGATATTTATGGTCGTGTAGTGGTCAGTTTACGCAATATTTTTCAATCTATGGTTCGTCTTGACAGCACGTGAAAAAAAAGACACGCTGTCGACATTATAGTTATTAGTGCAAGAAAACATTATGAATTTAAATCCTAATTATAATTAAAACCCTATTATATGGTTTTTATTAAGAGGTAAGTGATACGAAGTTCACCGGGTCAGCTAGTATAGAAATAAAATCAGTTCATAAATTATTGTATTATATTCATAACTGTAAATTATAGACACGTTTTAATCTTCTTTTATTACCGACTCAAATTATAAAATGAAGAATATTTCCTACATATGGTAAGAAAATTTGAAAAAAATATCAAAAGTTATTATTAAATTATTGACGTGACAAATCCGTAGCAAAAAATATGTCAACTGATTAAAAATGTGCACAAGAGATGTGAGTGGGTGATAGATGTAGTAACGCATTGACAGGATATGTCCACCTCCTATTTGAATACAAATAGATTAATAAACATACCTGTAGAATTTTTGTGTCCTTTCAGATTGTTCTGTGAATACCTTCGCTGGTTAGACGAAGGCGAGAAAACGAAAGCCATGCCTCACGACGCCGAGATTGGCAGATTTATACCGGATTGGGTAATTTTAGCATTTGTGAATTCGTCAAACGTTAGTTGTCTTCGATTGAAGATAAATAATATCATCTATCTTCTTCAGGCTTTCCAAGCAGCGTTCCAACAGGAAAGTCGATATCGTTCTGCCTCGCTCTCTCCGAACACGGAACCGCCTCCGCTGCCCCTCTCCATTTCTCCGCCCGACGCCCCGCCCCCTGCCCCGCCTACTCCGCTCCAGGAAGCTGCACGAGCACTCCTTAGTATTAGGGGAGCTTCGAGAAGGAGGTAATTTTGCAAGCTTATGTTTCAAATATTTGTTTATCACTTTATTCGTACTGCTGAGGAAAAGATTTTCTCTATGATTGGACCACATAGGAAGAATGAGCCAAATCCATCACGAGAGCCTTATATGGATTCGTGGATGGAAACGATAGCCGATGTATTTTTTTATATACTGTAAATGTGTGATAGGCACACATTTACAAATAATTTTCTTATCAATCTATGTAGTCAGAACCAATGGCCGAATGGTGACCCATTCATAATACGAGTTGACCTATAGATAGGACATAGGTTACTTTTATTATGTTAAAGGGGTTGAAATAAATAATTAAAGTTTGTTTGGAAATTCGTGTTTGGCAAAGATAACATCTTGAACCTTAAATAAAGTTTACACGATATAATAAATAAATATTTAAATGAAAACTTTTAAACGATATCATCGGTTTTGTATTTAGCTTTGGGCGTTTCTGACCCATTTACAGGTTCCGTGTGCACATAAGAACAAGGTATTAATTGTCTTTTTAATTAAAAGTATAGCTGCCTTCAAAAACCACTACTATTGGACACATTCACAATATCTATATATATAAAAAAAATTGTGTCACGATGTATGTTGCCAATAAACTCAAAAGCTACTGCACCGATTTCTTTATTTCAAGGTAAGATTATTTGTTTATTTCAAGGTTTATGTGTTCTGACATAGATCAAGGAAGCTTCCGATAAGATCACTGTTGGAAGATGTGAACAGCAAAGACCCGCGAGCTCTAATTGCCTTGGTCGACGAACACCTGAAACGCCTGCAAAAACTGTCAAAGTGAGTTAAATAACTATATTAATGATTTTTATTTCTTACTAAGAAGATTTTTTAGAAATTCAATCCCTAAGGGGTAAGGAACAGGGGGTGGATGAAAATAGGTACATAAGTATATAAGTTCTTGATGACAATTAAAATGATCTGCGTAGGTAAAATGGACAACATTTCCCCCTACATTTGCAAACGTACATCCTGCTAACTAATGTACACGCGGCCGAAGTCGCTAAAATATTTCTTTCGGCTGTTTGGATGGATTATCTGAACATTGATGAAAATACGGTCAATTTTATTGGTCTAAAAGTAACAAGTGCCTGGAAAATTCGCCCGTCCTGTTAGTTCCTGGGTAGTTCAGTGGTTAGAGCGGTCGCCCGCATTGCGAAAGCTCATGGGTTCGATTCCCGTCTCAAAGTGCCAGGGTCAAAGTATATATTTTACAGTAGTTGATATTATGATAGAAATTTTGTACCTTTTTATTGGCGAGTAGGGAGAGTTCATTTCATTCTATGCTAAAATTTTATACATATTAAATGTTTTTAGGGTTCGCTAAGAAAAGATTCTGTAAAAAGAAAAACAACATAGTTGTTTGGAAATTGATCAATCTTACTTTCTATCTATAATACATCGTCGTCGGTGTAGCGGGCTACTTATATAATACAACTTTTTTACGTCTTAGATGAAATGTACATCAACATTTGCAAAAAAATTACACAATGAATTAGATAAAGACCAATTTTTTGCTGAACGATTATAAATGTGATGAAGTTCGAGACGCCAAAGAGAGTAAACACAGATTACTACAATATGTCTTATTATCGCAATAGATTTTCAACCCTACTGCTATTATATTAAAGTTTAATATAATAGCGGTAGGGTTGAAAATGAATTGCGATAAGTTATTATTAATTTATTTTATTTATTTTTATTTAATCTTTATTGCCATATTACTGCAAATGGCGGACTTAATGCCATGGGCATTCTCTACCAGTCAACCGGAGAGGATAAGCAGAAAATTTGTAAGGCAGTGACAGTGATAGAGAATTCTGAATATAATTAACAATCATACAAATATTTAGACACATATATATATATTAAGACAATACCCTACATACAAACACACAAATACATAAATAAATATATACATATACAGTAAAATAAACATCGACATGTCACATTGGAAAGTTAGGAAAAGTTGTTACCTTTTAGATAGTGTTCACACGCTTTTCTCTTGAAAACTAATCTATTCGGAGCATTTCGTACGACTATAATTATATTAAGTATAGTCTGCTGTTGACTGTACGATTATAAATGAGAACCGTTTGTTTCTGCTACATGAGTACCATTGGTTGTTGTACAGTGAGTGGTGTAAAGAAGTGACGACAGTAGCGTCATTGGACAGCGCGCTGTGGGATTTGGTCCGCGGGCTGCGGGTCACTAATGATATACCTGTTATACACTCCTCCTGCCTCAACAAGTGCAAGCCACTGGCTTACGCTCCACAAGTGAGACTCTTTTGATCATTACAAACTGGAATATCTTATTGAAGTGTACAAATAGTTTAGCGACTGGAATCGACACACTCTTAAATCGGCATTCGAAATGTCCGGGGCTGTAGCATCATCTGTTCTATTCTGATTTGCGTATTTTTAACTCAGTAGAGTGGAACAGAGAATGATGGAGATTGAGATATATCGAAAAGTGGGTTTAAGAGTACGGTTCTTGACCGAGAGGTTGCAGTAAAGGGACCATTCATAAATTACGTCACACGAGAGGAGGGGGGGGGGTCGATGAACTGTGACATTAGAACAATATTTAGTAGAATTTGTATAAACAAACATGTGACAGGACAGGGGGGGGGGTTAAAATTTTGTGTGACGTCATTTGTGGATGGCCCCAAATGTCGCAGTGGTTCCTTTTATTTTTCCTATTTGTCTGTGTTGGTAAATTTAAAGAAACTAAATTGAAGGTAAATTAATTAAAAAAAGAATAGAACAGCACTTTTTGTTTTAAATACGTTATTATTATAGAAATTGAACATTTTTGTTTAGTGTGACTATAGGATCATATTTTTTTTATATCACGCATACTTTATCGATTTCGCTGTAATCGGTGATGTTTTTATCAGGAACGACAATCGTGCATATCGACTGGGGCTCAACAAGGAATCGTTGAAAATAGGTACAATTTCTGATATTATTTAAAATAAAATAATTAAAGCTTTATAAACAGTTATTCTTATCGAATCGATTTGAATTGTATGCACATTACTTTATGTACAGGAATAGAGCTCGCTCAGCGATCCGTCGATTAGCTCGCTCTCGGCCGGACGCCGCTCGCTCGGCGACCGCTTTGCTCGCTCTAGCCAGGTAATTTCCCCGTAATGTATAAAAATTACTGCCGCTAAATCATTGTAATAATTCATATAAATGAACTAGAAGTAGTGTGTGGGTATTAGAATTGTTGAAGTGTATTTATATATTTGAACAATTATGTATAACCTCATTTTGAACAAATAAATTGAAATGCATATATCAACGCCGTCTTACCATTTTCTTTTTGGATTTTGATGGAGATATTAAACAAGTTATTCAAGGAACCTTATAAATATTATCACTATTGTAGTTTTCCGCCGGCGGTTTCGCCCGCGTGGTCCTTTTATTTATTTGGATACCAATTCATATAATTACAATGACAAATTTAATAGTAAACAATGGACGTCTTAAATTCCCAAACATACTTTCATACAAACTTCCACTCCCATTTTACCCCTTTATTTGCTGTTTTTCTAGATACAGTATAGCCTTTGTTCACCGCACATGATGTAGCTTCCCGTAAGTGAAAGAATTTTTTAAATCGGTCCACCAGTTTTGGAGTCTATTAAAAGCAAACAAACAGTCAAATCTTTCCTCTTTATAATATTAGTATAGGTTTGGATTTTTCTAACGGAAAAAAATCTTGCTATCCTCCAATTATACTGTAAAAAACTTTTGTTTATCAAAAATATTTTGTATTTCAATGAAGACGCTCTGGAAGTTTCGAGACGGCGCGTCGTATGGTAGATCGCGCGTTGGGATGCGCACGAGACGTGAGCGAGAACTGCGCGCCCGCCGCCGCCGCTCTAACTTCCTTCGTAGAAATCATCACTGAGGTAATGATAATGCCTGATGTGTAGATACCGTCAAATAAATATGGTCATAAGTGATATTAGAATTGTCGGAATGTATGCGCAGCAAAATTTATATTAACATTATGCTTAGGAACAATTAACAGTAAGTCAAGTTATATATATATATTTTATTTTCTTCAATTATTTTAACCCTTAGTGTAATGAGTAGACTACAAAATTACTAGCGGAAATTTTACATTATGGCAGACTGACGTGCAGCCGTATGTATAAATATTTTTTTTAATATGTGTAACAAAAATTATAGCAAGAACAATATTTATTTAATTTTTAAAATTGGCTACTTGATTGTTCTGAGAGAAGTATATTACACTTCCACACGATCATATTAAACCACTATAAGATGCATTTTTTTATTAATCAATTTAAATTGTCTTGCGAAAATAATCAGTCGCTTGATATTTCGAGCTGTGACGTCACATTTCAATAAACATGAGTACTCGCAACAAAGACGTGGACGTTTATGTACATAGTGTATTTAGTAAATTATCATAAGGCGATAGGGTGTTGGGTGTTTTTGTTTCTTCATGAGATTTAATATTTTAAGCGAAAAATTGGTGTCTGTCAGACTGTCTGCCGACACAACCGATTTTAGCCGATACTTTTGGATCGATCGAATTGAAATCTGGTACTCAGTAAATTTGGAAATAAAAAAATGTTTGATATAAAGTTAGGTAAATTGCTAATAGGGATGACGATTGGGTAAAAAATAAATAATTTTATTAGTCCGTCTGTCAGATAATAGAAAAATATTAGATACGTATTTTTTTTTTTACTTCAATTTATCAAGAATAGCTTCGATAACATACATTAAAGTTGAGGAAGGGGGGTTTGCTACGTCAGAGTATTGTAGAAAATGAACAAAAGCGTCATGTGACATTTTAATTCAAATGTATCGCCATAATTTAAAGACTACAAAAAAAAATACGTGTTTAATATTTTTCAACTATCTATCTGACGGGCAAACAAGCGGAAATCAGTCGTCATCCCTATTCAGCGTGGTTAGTTACATAAAAGTATTGATCAGCGGTGGTTGGCGTCTTCGGGGTCGGAATGCGCGGCGCTGCTGACCACGTGGTGCGGTAGAGGCGCGGCGCCGGCGGGCGTGCAGCGCGCGCTGTGCGTGGCGCTGCTGGCCCCGCCCCGCGCGCGCCCCGCCCACGTGCCCGCGCTGCACGCCGCGCTGCTCGCCGCGCACCTCACCGCCGCGCAAATGTTCAGCGCGCTCTCCAAGGTACCGTAGACATAGTATAATCGATGCAATATTTTTATTTTATTTTACAAACCAAGATCACATGCTTACAATTAGGTATAATTCATTGATTACAGCTTCATTTCAGAGTAGCTCGGTGGCGTAGTGGCCGCGGCCCGCGATCGTTTTCATTATGCAACTTTCGCAAGGGTCGGTCGCGGGATGGGTGACCAAAAAATTATTATCTCGAGCCGTTGGTCCCGGCTGCATTTGCAGTCGTTAATACCCTCCAATCCGCATTGGGCCAGCGTGGAGAGTCATGGCCCATCCTCCTTAACCATTCATAAGGAAGGCCTGGGCCCCTGCAGTGGGGGCGTAAAAGGGCTGGTGATGATGAATTAATTTCATGCTTATTTGCCTTCCCATAACTGCTACACACAACACTAAACAGTACACGTATCAACAGTAAACATGACAATAAAATTTCAAATAAACTTAAAAATAAACAAGTTCTATAATAATAGAAAATTAAATCAAGAAATTAGTATAATTATTGAGAAATTTAGAAAAAGAAAATATAATCAAAAAAAATATTACAACATTATTACATTAAGAAACATCATAATTTATTGCATATTGGTAGAGAGGAAAGTTTTTGCACCCTTTTGCTACCACCCACTTTAAATGGAAAATGGCTTAACAGATCTTCAGTGTCCCATACGGAGTTAATAATTTTCTAAAGCATCGATAAGTTAGCTACATCTCGTCATGACTGAAGGGTGCTCACTTTTTCCCTAATAAGGGACGGAGAAAGCGACTTCGTTTTATACTATGTAGTGATATTCTCATTTCATATATATTTTTAAAGATTTAAGCATACATAGGGATGTATGCTTAAATCTTTAAAAATACGCAACGGATTTTGATGCGGTTTTTTTTCATAGATAGGGTGCTTCAAAAGGAATATTTTTATATATAATACAAGACCACGTGGGCGAGGCCGCTAGCGGAATTTTAAATAATCAGTACCGTTAAAAAATAAATACTGTTCGACGAGTAAACTTATCGAGTTGGGTTATGTTGAGATGCACATCATTTTTTGTTACGTTTATGTTGGTTTCTCATGTTATTGTTAAGTTTTGTTGTTACTTGTTGTGGGTGACCTAAATAGCATCTGCTATTATGATTTTCACACTAAGTGAACATAATTTCTCTAAAAATAAATATATGTAATGTCTCTTTATTTCATTTTTACTTTTGGTTATGTTTTGAAAAATTATCCTTTCGGTTTGTAATTGCATTATTACAAAGTAAATGTTAACTATTTCATATATTTGTAGACAAGGTTCCAGCGCATAAGCAATTTCGTTCGCTGTTAATGATTCATAAATTAAAAAAAACCTTTGATTAGTTTTTGACAGTCGTACATATTTTTAATTATTTATTTTTACCTTTTTTCCCTATCCATTTATTCCATCCATAGATACTTGTTGGATAATACAATAAATAGTATTATTAATATTATTATACATATTACAGTTCGAGTTGAGCAAATGGTCTCAGTCAGTAGACACCAATACGCGACGTGAGATGCTGAACTCTCTGACTGCTGCAGCTCAGCGCTGGGGATTCGCACCCACTGAGGAATATTTGCTGCTGGTCGAGGTACCGTTGGCAAATTCAAAATCGTATAAAAAAATACTTTAGTCATGCTAGACTACTCCATGCAGGATCCCGGTTGCATTTTTTTTTATATCTGGCAACACTAAAAAAATAAGTTTAACATTAAGACGCCGTAGGCAGTTAAAAGTTTTGTTGTCAGTTTAGTCCGAAGCTTTAAGTATTAATATAGTGTTACAAATCCATCTGGAAAATCTATTACATTAAACTTTACACAGTAGATGTTTCGATTAACCAGTTTTAGATATATATCTAACCCAAGCAGCAAAATGTGGTCTAGTAATCGTTCTGGAACCACAATTTCATCAGGACTATAATGGAATAGTAAGCAATTATAACCACGGAAAAGGGCCCATTTTACAGGCGTATTTACTCTAATTCAATATCTATAATGGACTTGGTGAACACTACTTTGTTCAGTAACGACCCTATAGTTAGTCTACGTAGAACTATTTGCTCCTGCGAAGTTAACTATCAGCGCTTAATGGAACCAAATACGGCAGTAAAAAATCTCTTACAGTACCATTCAAAGTGTTGTGAATTGGCAAATGTTGCTGCACATATTTATATTGATAATGGTAACTTTTCATCCATTTCTAATTTTAATTAATATCCAAAATATTAATCATAAGTAAAGAGTTACTTAACAATAAGTAATGGCTTGCGCATGTATATTTTCGGTGAAGTATAACAAGTTTTCTATTAAAATTTTTACGCGCCTCTCAGAAGAAGCGTTTTTAATAAGTTAGATTTCGAAATAATGTCGGTTTCAGTAAGACCATACAACGAAAAGTCGCCATCTTGACAGATGGTTTTTCCAAATACATTAAAAAACCATTTTAGGCGTACTTTGTCTAAAAAGGGCAGACATTAGAACCGTTGCTTGGCCATATTTTTTTGGAATCAGGGTTCAACAAATATTTTTCTAACTGGCATGATTCTTTTAATATTTTTGTTTAGAAATAAACATTTAGCAAGGTAGTGTTTTTGAACATCGATCGCTTTTTGACTAAAAGCGATTTCGAGCTTTGAAAACATCAAGGTGGCCTTGGGAATAAATTATTGTGTCAAAGTAAGGTAGCAAATCTGACGTAAGAGGGAAAATTTTGAATTTACCTTGAATAAAAATTCATTAGCAAAAATCAATATTATGTTTATTTTTGTTAACTTCTGACCTATTTACAACTACTAATGGAATTATTTTTAACTACTAATAGAATTAACCAATCAGTCAATTATTATCAAAAATTGTTGTTCAAATATTTATATAATTCTGGTATATTTGAACTGGTAAATTTTGATATATTTGAACCATACAGAATACTCGCAAGCTTATATTTTATGTTTGAAATTTTAAAGACCTTTTCCTTTCTATTGTTGTTGATTTCATTAAAATTGCATTGATATATATTAAGAAACAATGATTTTATTAATTGATCGAATGCATCTTGTGCTTGTACAATAGCATTACCACGTATTTCAATATAATGTTCTTGGGTGTAGACCCAGTGATTTTAGAAAAACAGCCCATTTTCTAAAATCACTATGTAGTTCAAAATTACGAGAAGAATAGTCTTCAATATCGCTTTCATCTTTTGACAGATTCCTCACTTGATAATTCAAGGGATGAATTGATATAAACCATATTGAAATACGAGTTATTAATATAAACGTTTTGTCTCAAACTATCACACGAATTGTTTTGTACGGAACTATTTCCTATTTCTACGATACTTTCTTCGCCAGACAAAGTTAAAACCGGACACCTGAATTATTTGTTCATAGGTTTTCGGATTTTTTCGTTTGTATGAACCATTTCTTTTTAGCCGTTTCTATTTATACAGATCCATTTGATAACAGAAGTTAATAGTACTTCGGCAAGGAAAAAGATTTATCAGAATTAAAATAGTTTTGTTGAGATTATAACAACTTTTGCAGGACCATAATAAGCCAATGTATTCTTGTATCAAATTCTTTATAATAGGTTTGTGATTATAACAATATTAAGTTACACCACTATAAAACTTATCCATTTTACGTATAATTGTTGCGTATAGTGGATTTATAAACCTATACAAAACCAAGTAATAAATGCAAATGGTTTCCAGTTTGTTTAGCACTCTTATTGGCGTACTTTACTTGTAATAGTTCTATAATGAGTTATTTTAGCAGTTATAAGAATAGCTTACTAGTTTATCTACTCTCGAGTACATTTACACCCACAGCATGCTTTTATAGGGCACCTAAGCGTATAATATATCCTTAATTTTGATCTATAAGTGATTATAAGTTGATATATAAGATCAGATATACTACAAGGACCAAGTGACTCCATGCTTCCTACTATAAGCGTTGTAGTAAATACTATGACCGTTAAGAGAATGTTATAAGTGCTGAAGGCCTATAACAACTGTACTATAGGATAATTTTGCTGCTTGGGAATACCCATATATTTTTAAATATACTTCACATAACAGCATATTAAGATATCACAATATGGCACATTTCTATAGTTGATTTTGAACTGTAGCCCCAATTGGTTAAGGTTTGAGATCACATGGAGAAATTTGACACTTGTGATAGAGTCTGACGGGCTGAAGATTGCAAATTAATACATTTCTCTACTAATATTAAAAAGGAGCTGTCCATTAATCACGTAAGGCTCGAAATGGGGGGAGGGAAAAATCACGAAATATCACAAGGGGAGCCGTGTAGGAAGTAGGAATGTAGGAATATATCACGTGTATTCCCAAACGCGCGATTACTTAAACGAAAAGCGGCGTCAAAAAAAATAGGTACTAAACAACACCCGTCAGTTGGGTGAGGGGGGGGGGGGATTAGTCTTAAACCTCACCATGTGAAAAAAAAACAGCACATGATTACTGGATGGCCCCCAAGAAGTAAAGCTTTTAACTGTGTTAATCTTTGGAAGTTAGGAACATATAAAATGTTACTTATAACTTAGGCTATAAATTACACTGGCGAAGTCGCATTTAAATAAATTATAATACCATATGCCCTCAGTTATTAGGAGTGCAGATGTCGACAGTGTGCCACGCGACGGAACTGTGCGTGTTGGCGAGCATGTGCGCGCGCGCGTGCGTGAGCGCGACGCTGCCGCCCGCTGTGCTACGGCACATTGTACGGGCTGCTGAGAAATGTGCCGCGGAAGTGCCCTTTGATCAGGTAATAGGTCGGACATTGAACAGAATAAAATGGGTACAATATAGCCATTGACAGTAATACGGGGGTACTCTACTCTGTTTGATAAGTAAATGTTGATTTTAATTTAATTAAGCCATAACATTAATATTTCGGAAAATTTATTTGGCTCAAATCAAATTTTTAACTTATACCCGCGAAAACGCTGTCCGACATATCCATGACGTTATTCGGGTATGTATACAAAATAGATGCATTGAGTAGTAGATTAAAATATGTCAATAAAACAACAACAGTGCCGTCTAACGATGGAGTTTGTAATAAAAAGATAAACCTAAATAAGCTTAATCCAGGAATTTGATGTATAATAAACAGGCGTTGTTTACAACTAATCTGATAGCTATCGCCAGTGTGACGTCTCGCAATGTCGGACTGTGTTTCAAGTCACGTGATACTCATACATAAATCTCTTACAATAGAATAATTATATTAGATTTTTGCATGAGTATTAATATTTTAAATTAAATTACATAAATACGGTTAGCAATAATTAGAGTGGTCATATCGTAGAGTGGAAAATTATAACAAATGAACATAATTGTCCAAGAAAAAAAATCTATAATTTTTAAGTGAAATAAAATATTTGAAATACAAATGCCAATGCATGCTCACTAAGATTCAACAAAAATCGTCGCTCATCCATCGCCTAGCTCTTGACATAATACAGAAAAATATTTCGTTGTCTTTGAATTTGCATAATAGGGATGATGACTGGGTAAAAAAATACAATTCTATTTAGTCCGTCAGTCAGATAATAGAAAAATATTAGTTACGTATTTTTTTTTTACTTAAATAAGAAATGGTATAGATAACATGCATTAAAGTTGAGGAGTGGGGGCTCGCTACGCCACAGTTGAGTAGAAAACGTACTCTAACGTGACGTCATGCGAAATTTCAAGTCCATGTAACGCCGTAATTTTATGATTACGAAAAAAATACGTGTATAATATTTTTTAACACTCTACCTGACGGACAAACAAACAAAAATTAGTCATCATCCCTATTCATTTAAAGTTCTATTTGCTCGCCACAAAAATGTATCTGTCGGTAATTAAATGAAGCAACAGGAAAAACTATTCAGAGTGTAGTGTCTATCTTTTTTGCCGGTAGTTCGTCAATATTATTTGAAATTATTATTAAGTAAGCATGCCACATCTGTAATTACAAGCCTGATGTTGATGGAAAGTATACTTAACAATCGTTTTTCTTCTGTCTAGTTAGGTCATCTGCTTCGTGAGTTGGGTATAATTTGGTGGGAAGCGCGAACGAAAGCGACAGAATCCGACATAGAACGTTACGATGCGTACGCGCCTCACACCGCTGGGCTCCTGCTAACGTTGCATCGAGCGTTCGTCGAGGCTGCGTTCAGCCTTAGTTACACTCCTGAGAAAGGTTAGTAGTTACATGATCCGCGTAACGCGATAATAAAGTAAATTTTGCAAGGGCCTGTCATAGGATGGGTAACCAAAAATGTATTATCTTGAGCTCGTTAAGCTTGTTAGTTCCGGCTGCATCTCCTGTCGTAAACACCCACCAATCTCACTGAGCTCATTCTCACTGTTAGTTTCGATTCATCCATACCGAAGGCCTGTGCCCAGCAGTGGGAATATAGGCTGTTTGATGAATATCTATATTGATGAGACTTTTGTAGTTTTTTGTCAATGCTTGTGTCCTCATAAGCATTACAAGGATGACGACAGGAGATGGTTAAAATAATTATCTGTTTGGTTTCAGTCGCCATGTTGTCGTGGTCGAGTTTACAGGAAGCATTCGCCGCTTGGATATTGCCGGGTGCTCCGCCCTCCCTCCCCCCGTCCCTCCTGCAGCAATCGCAGTATACCAATACTCTACAGGCTGTATATCGGTCATTAAACTATCTCATACATCAATACCCTGGTGAGTAACTCTGAAATGAGACAATACTGATTATCCAAGTCTTAAGTCGCGCCAATATGTCGACAGGCACCAGCAGGTCAATTCTAGCTGAATATATATGTGTGATGTAGAGAGCACTAATAATATTGGACTTCAGGTATAGAGTACAATTGGAAAATGCAAGTAGTTGAGATTATTTTGAGATGCGATTATTACCTAACAGTAGAATGGGCCTACTATAGCGTTTTCGGTCTGCCGTTGCCGGTAGTTATTTTCCTTTCGAAAAGGTCGATCATCAGAAGGGCGATAAAAAATTTAAATCGCTAATTTTTCTAGGCATCTAAAGGTGGTGGTGGGAACGAGGACTTAAACGAGTCATCGTTCCCATTGGTTCTATGTTAATTATAAAAAATATAAGCTTTGATGCGGTTAGTTTAATTTTTAATTCGTAGTACAACTCGTGTCTGAAAAAGCAAACAAACACGACTGGATTAATGGTGATGATTTGAGCTAATGGTAAGTAAAATATGACCTAAGATGGTACCTGGAAAACTCTGGCTTGGAGAGTTATAAATCATAATTAAAACTTGAATACAAGCATACATTTACAATAAATTGGTGTAACAACTAAATATGGTTCTACTGTATCACTCGTATGAATTATCATGGGGGTCTATTCTATTTGTCCTCGAACGAAAATTCGGAACAATTCGAATATTTCTTATAATTTTGATAAAATCGTATCAAACAGGCAAAGTCAGGCCATACCTCTAATTTTTTTTCTAGTTTTTTTAAATTTAAAAAGAAAACAAAAAAATATTTTTCATTTTCAAGTCAAGTCTTCAGGTATCGTGTTAAATTTTACGAGTAGCACAAATAAGTATTATACTGTCCTTGGTCAGGTACCGGGGAGGTGTTACTGAATCAAGTGTTCGAGTGGGTGATACAGACGTACCAGTCCGTGCGGTCATCCAGCGAGGGTCGGCTGGAGTTGTGTTCGTTGCTCGCTTCCTTCGGCAATCTGCCCTGGAATGAGCACCAGTGGCTGCAGCCGTCTGGGCTTCAAGCTTTGCTTCAAGTAACTATCCTTTTATAACTCGTACGAATTAACATATCACATGAGGAGTTGTTTTCACATGTCACATTTTTAACACGTTCTTACAATAGGTGATGACGACGGTATTACAATCAGCGCGCTTATTTTAAATTTATGTTTAGTTTTATGTTAGTTTTAGTAATAAGATATTTTATTATTGTGTATGTGCCACACAGTGATCTTTTGTTTCTATACTCCATTCATTATAACATTAGAAAAAAGAGGATCTCAGAACCAGCAGTGCAGAACATTTTATTTACAACATAAATTTAAAAAATATTTATTATATTTTTGTTGAAATTTTGAACTTTAGGTAGTCTGAAAGAGTTGGGCAATTTTACATTTTCTCGGGGTTGAGATGAGACTAGCATTTTCTAAATTCATCTTTTACTGAGAGCCAACATGGAAATAAAACTATCTATCAGTTTTTTTGATTGATTCTAATTGTAAGTGTATATAATTAGAATATAATTTAATATGCCCAGAAAATAAAGGTAAACAAAATGAATGTTTTATTATTACTGTTATAACATTTATTCAAATATTATTAGACAATTGATTAAGACTGGAAAAACTTGCTGAAATGTCAAAGGTAATTGTTGTAGGCCACTCGGGCCTGCACCAGAATCGCAGTTTAGCAAAACTTAACAACAAAAAGCTAGCAACTAAAACAAAACTATAAGAAAACAACAATAAAACAGTAATTACTCAATCACCGAAAATGGCAAAACAACAAGAAAGGCAGTAGCATTCACAATGAATGACAATCCGAGATTACGTATTTTGACTATTATGAATAAATCATAATCTGACTAAATTAAAAAGATAGATAGATGATGATCCGGTAATGACATGTATTTTTGTTAACCGTTATAAGACGCGTTGAACGAGTGGTAGGAAAAAAATTGGGATGATTCAAAAGTTTGAAAGGAAAGTATGATGCAGGTAAGCCAGTCGGGTGATGAAGACGTGTTATGCTGGTGCGCGCGTTGCTGCGGGGGTCTGCTAGCGGGGGCGTGGCTGCGGGGGGCGTGGCTGGGGCAAGGGGCGGGGCCCGGGCAGGGGGCCGAGCCAGGGGAGGCGTTCGCCACTAGACTCGCCGCCCTGCTGTACCTGTGGACCGCTACCACGCTACCCGCTACACAACAGGTCTGTTACACACCAAATAACAAAATGATTTACTATGCGAGTCAAATGAAAAAGGACTGTTCAACAGCCATCTTGGTTCGCATTGCGCTTCAACGTCAGGGTGTAAGGTTAACAAAAAAATATCTTTTTGTTTTATAGATAAGTATAAAATTTTCGAAATTCGTAGACAGAACGACATGCTAGTGGCCTGTCTAATTTCAAAATCTATCCCAATCTTTTTTAAAGGTAAAGCAACTGTGACAGCTATTTTTGAAATCATGTAGTCTTAATTATTTTTTATTTGAATGATTAAGAGATATAATAAGAACTTGGTAACTTAAAGTAATAGGTCTCAACGCTTGCCTTAGATAATTCTAATTTACGTTTAAGCAGCGATATCGTTCATACAACATCTATAAAAAAAGTCACTATCACACATCGCCATCACATTTCAAATAGTTGTAGAGTGAAGTAAATGAATATTTTGAAATATCAGATTGAAAAGGATTGCGATTGGTTTTAAAATTAGACAATTTAACACTTTAAAATTTAAAATTAGACAATTTATTAGACAATTTAACGTGTACTCAGACGTTGGAGAGGGCGTGCAATTTGTGGTGGGAGCGGCTGCCAGTGCCCGCATTGGAGGACGCGCTCGAGAGATTCTTTCAACTGAACTACGGTCTATCAACACCTTACCACGATCTGCCACAATTCAAGTACGTATTTAAAAATGTCTTGTATTTATTACAATTTTATACCTAACTTACTAAACTGGCGGCACGCTATGATGGCCGTTTTGATATATTACAATAGTGATGTGGAATGTCAATTTATTCTCGAACAAAAAAACAAATAAGTTTTGTTTTTGTACCTGATTAAATAAGTTTAATAAAACAAAAATGTAAATGTTTATTTAATATATTTGAACGAACTGAATATTTGAATGAAAATGAATATACATACTTTATATGCACAAAAGAAACATATGAATACAAAAGATACCAAAAAAAGTGCCACAAAAGGCCATATTTAATCAGATTCGTCCATACTACTATTTTCACTGTCGTCACTGCTATCATCACGTACATTAATTATAAGTTCGTTTTCTATAATATTATCTATTTTCACATGTCTTTCATAATCTTCCCTTATTAATTTAACAATTCTATTGACAACCTTTTCCCAGTCTCCTTTAGTCACATGTTCATAAGCTTCTTCTAATAATTTTAGCATTTTTTTTTTGTGGTAAATGGGGGTTCTGTATTGTGTCTTGCAGCATATCCCTTAATTTGAGCCCACACCAACTCAATCGCATTAGGCGGTAACCGTATAACTCTGTGCCCATGTTCTAATGCTATTTCGTCAATGACGTATCGGATCTTTCTACACTTGTATACATTTTAGAAATCAATTTAATAAATTAATTTTTGGTTTCTAAAACTACATTCCATAAAACTTATGAATCTCTGCACATCACTTATGAATCTCTGCACATCACTATCGTCAATAAAGTAATGCAATTATTTCCTTCAAAGTCGTTATCAATTAATACGGAACTTCATGAGCGGACAAACGTCAAAACGGCCATCATAGCGTGCCGCCAGTTTAAAGATGTTTATTTAGATATCAATTCATATCATGTTATATAATTACAATATCGAATTGAATAGTAAACAATGGTTACTATGGTAACATTTTAATACCCTATACAAACTTCCACTTTCGTTTTCAACCTTCTATTTGCTGTTTATGGATAAAATATAGCATATGTTCACCGCATATTATGTAGCTTTCTGAAAATGAAAGAATTTTTAAAACTGGCCCAGTAATTTCAGAGCCTATTCGTTGCAAACAAACATACAAACAATCTTTCCTCTTTATAATATTAGTATAGATGGTGTGACGATTCATTCTGTAAATATCAGTTTGGTGTTTCGGTTCAGAGATAAAAGTCAATTTCAGTAGCGTATATCTTGGAATCGTATTTTAGAAAATTTACATTAATTTTGATGGACCGAAAAAAAACAATCAAAATAGGCAAAGCTTTTTTAAAGGTCGATGAGTGGTGACACTTTCTATCCTTGTCATTTCCGTCCTTATCAAATCATCGGTATGTTAATTCGAGGACAAATAGAATAGGCCTCCAAGGCCCTTATTCCCTGTGACAATCGAGATTTCACACTTTGTACGAGCTAACGCAGTACATAGCAACATTAATATTTAGCATAAAATAAGTTATTGCACTATGACCCAGATGTGTTTGCATAGACATCACTTTTCAAAATGTACAAATAATTATTATAATAAACTCAGTGTTTTAATAGCATTCATACGGTTCGGTTTTATTTAGCACTCCTTTGAGTAACCTTACCCTTAGCAAGCATACAAGTGTAGGGAGCAATTCCTACACACTTGATTCTTACCACGCGTGAACTATGTCCATATCATATCTTGCCCTAACCATGTACGGTAACCACGTACGGTAACCACGGTAAGGTATCTGCTAAATTATTCTTCTCCGTATTAAAGCAATACGGAGTGCCTCGTCTCTTTGAAGAAAGAAAGAAAATACATTTACTGACCACATAGGTGGATACAATAATGATTTAACTTAAAGATAATACATTTATTAAAAGTGATGGCCAATCAGGAGTCCGCCTCAGCATAAGCCATATCAGTGTAGATTACTCTGATACTTCGCTGATTATTCTGGTAGTTCTCATTTTCGAAACTTTTGTAATGCTCGGTGGGTATCAATAGGCGGCGTTGTTTTGAACGCTAGTTCGAGCGGACCAATTAGAACGCAGTCGTGTTTTTTAAACTTGGGTAGTAACAGGCATTCCGCAGGATTTCCGAGTGTAAAGCGTTTTCCACGGGTTTTCATTCCAAGCAAATATTGCAAATCTCTTACTACGATAGTATTCCCAAACAAAATACTTAGAAATACACTTTATCCCTGATGCTCTGAAATGGGACTCGAACCCATGACCTTTCACGATCCGGCCTACCCAGCACCCAACGAATCTGACAAATCTTTCAAGCACTTGTTACTTTTTTCGCTACTACAAAATGTACTTTCATCAATATATAAGCATACACCCAAACATAATGGGTTCGAGTCTTATCTCAGAGTGCCAGAGACAAAGTGGATTTTTTAAGCATTTTACATTGGGAACTTTTTTCAGTATAGCATTTTGGACGCAAAATTGATCAGGTATAATAGTTAATACGATGTTATAAGGGTTTGGAAGCAAGGAATCGATAAGTGGTCATAGCGAATAAGGGCCCGATTATTATGTGACCTATTTGGTGCGGCAGGGTGATATTAGCGGCGAGTGAGTTGAGTGTGGCGAGTGATGCTGTGAGTGGCGGCGCTGTGAGTCGTGAGAAGCGCGCTCACTGCGTGTCTCGGTGGACGCGCGCCGCCGCCGCGCCCGTCCTGCTCGCACACGTGCCCGCGCACGTCGCCGCTCTCACTCATCTGCTGCATGACATAGGTATCATACATAACACTATACTATAGCGCACTCAAAAATCTTATTATAAACAAAAACTATGGACCCTTTTTTACGAAAATTGCGAGGATGGATTAGTATGAAATTGGGCATACTTATAGTTTATATGTAGAAGAAGTGCAAACAGCTAGTATTTTTCAACAATAATGCTTATAAAATACATTAAATCGATAAACAAAACATTTCACACGTAACTATGCATTTGACACACACAAAAAAGTATTTGCTACACACATACATGTACTCTGTGGTCAAATTGTTTCATAGAGTTTGTTAGTTTCTTTTGAATATTGGCTTCGCACGGTTTGTGAATTTAGCCAGTGTCAAGTTTTATATGGTTACCATAGACATCAATTTATATGTTTGTGATGTTTACTATGGTCTAACTGAATGTCAAACGATTTGTGTTAAAAACCTCTAATTGAAATTTATTATGGTCGAATTTCGACCACGTGGTGACCACTAGTATTTATAATAGGGTCTATCTACATAAATATCATTGAACAAAATTTTATACCAGAATAACTGTTACTTCATAAGGCATGATATCATAATTGTAAAAAAATATTTTTATTATAGGTTATTTGTTCAAATAAACGTTGGAGTATATAAGTATCTGATAAAAGAACTTACATATGCGATGTAGAATTATATGTGAACTATCACATATATAGGGCACACAGACGTCATCGCTGACAACCACCGACATTATCAAAGAACATTAACAATATTTTTTATGCAAAATTTCCATTTACTGCAAAATTAATAGAAAATACAATGCACCGGCCTTCGGAACTCAATTTGTTCAGCCGGATAGAGTTTGATTGGATTTCTCAAAGTGTTTATCGTTGTATGTACAGCTCCACACCTGGCTCGCATGAACAGCGACGGAGATGAGGAGTTGGTGGAACTAGTGGGGCGCGCGCTCACACTCATGTGCATCGAGCCAGCCGCGGCCGCCGCTCTACCGGTCAGTGTATGATCATTAGGGTCAGATTATATATAGTCTTATGTTTTAAGATATCTGAAATCTGGTAATGGCGTGTATTGTCGCCATTGTTGTATAATAATAATAATAAAGCCTTTTATTTCCTTAATAGTATCTTTACAAATAGTTTGGTATTGTATTGTAAAGTGCATGCAAATTACAATAATCAGAATCTTATATTTAGTTTCATTTAAAAACAAATTAAATTAAGGACCTCTCTAGAGTAAAGGCCTCCTCCAGGTTTCTCCACGTAGATCTGTCACTTGCTTTTTCAGTCCAATTCTTTCCTGCCACTTTTTGAATTTCATCAAGCCATCTCTCAGCCGGTCTACCTCGAGTCCTCTTACCATCAGGCCCCTGCCATAATGTTATCTTTCTTGCCCACCTGTCCTCTTTCATTCTAACAATATGGCCAGCCCACTTCCATTTTAATCGTTTACAATGTTCCAGAGCATCAATTACATTTGTTGATTTTCTTATGTCTGTATTTCTATTTTTATGTTTTAATTTTAAATTTTGTATACATTACTGTAGTATTACTGTAGTATACGCCATTGTTGTATACATTACTCAAATTCATTCCAGTAGCCAATTATATCCAACGCCCCGACCAGAGACAATATATAATTTTTAACATTGACACGACTGGAATCAAATGGATCCTCAAAGAAACGGATGGTCAATTTACATTATTTATTTATTAATATGAACCAAACAACAGCACATATGAGTATTACAACATGATTTAATAGAGATAGGTTAAATCGATATATGTGTGTGATATGGCATATGTGTGTGTGATATATGCAAATAAAATTATTATTCATTCATTCATTCATATATCTATTGATAATACATACATACATATATCTATAACCGTGGTAATACCCTCAGTTTTGTATATATTTTTATATATACATATATTCCGCGGCGTACTATCAAACTTGTCTATATTTATTTGTTTGTCTTTTGTGCTTATCTACCACGCCACCGAGCTACTCTACTACTATGCTATAGCAAAGAATAGAGTGACGGAATAAGGTTATACCGTTCTGCTAGATACAGCTCAACTTTAAAAGCTCGTTATTTTTAAAGTTAATGCGTATCAGTGTTTTACAGTATTTTTTTTTATAATCTCTTTAAGGTATGGGAACGTTTCGTATCATCTAGTGCTCCTTGTATGGTACAAGCGATTCTGGGCGCTGTAGCCGGACTGACAGCGTTCGAGTACTTCGCACCTCTAGCTGACGCCGCCGTCAGGACTCATCTCGCGCAAGGTACGTGTGCACTCATCATTATCCATATCTAACGCCGGCGTTTTAAGAAGCAGAGATCGAAAGGGTTCTTTTTTCTACTGGTATCTTATGAGAACTGTGGCCAGCGATAAAACAGTTTTATAACCGACTTCAAAAAAGGAGGTTCTCAGTTTGACCTGTATGTATAAACACAGACATATATATCTGTGTTTCCTTGACCGAGGGAAAATGCGCCATCGCTGCCGCCGGGGGCTTGGGGGATTTCCCCGCTGAGGGCGGGAGCCGATCCACTAAAATACCCACGTTGGTGATGGCACCCTGGTACTCGGGTGTATTCGCCGGTACAGCTTTTTCCTGTGAGATCTCTCTTGTCCCCAACTAGCGGGTGGGAAAGACACAGGGTATTAAGACACGGGCGCCCCTCCCTTTTCTCTCTTATGTGAAGAGGGTCCGTATAGGCCAGATATGCATGCTACCCTCATGGACCCTTTCGCCCTCTGCCTCGGTTCCCTTGCCCTCCGGCGGTCCAAGGGCCGGTCATATCACGATGAGTGCCCCCAGGCCCTCCCCAACCGTCTATGAGTATAGACAAACCTTGAAGTGGTTATCGGTATTGATATTTGTGTGCAAGGTGGTACCTGGGGCACTGTGTGCGGGCGGTGGCGCGCGTGCGTGTGGGCGGACCCGTCGCCGCTGTGTGCGCGCGCGCGCCTGCACGCCGCGTACGCCGCGCACGCGCACGCGCACTGCGACGCGCACCACTTGCGCGCCGCCTTCCTGGCGCTCGTCGCCACGGATATAGACTTGTGAGTATTTAATAGGGGTGTAGACGACATTTTTATGTGTTTTTTTTATAGATATACATTGAATATATCAATAAAATATATATATGAAAACGATCGACATTCTTATAATGAGTTAAAATCTGAAAAAGTTCATTTTTAAAATTTTCCGCGAAAACGCCATGTGTGTAATGGCCTCACGATCCACGAAAATTCTCTAAGTTCTGATATAAGAAGGGCGTGACGTCACGCGGTGTTTGCAGATGTATAAAATGTTTGGTTTTCAGAATTATTTTAAGCATATTTATAACTATACTGAGCTAAAAAGTGTGATTATTGGTAATAGTATATTAAACACTACCAGAACAAAAATAATATGTATTTAATTTCGTTTACTGTCTAACCCCGTATTCAATCAGGCATTATTTGACGAAAATTCATTCTTACCATTGTGAAACTACTACTTGTAATAATTAACAGAACACCTATCATATTTTCTATTTCTCTTAAAAATTAATTTCAATACCAAAGTCAGCTAAATAGTCTTATAGGATATTTGATGTTACAATCCCACGTAAAATTCGGGAGTCGAGCCCGATATTAACGTTCAATTTAGACAGCACAAAACGATTAATATTCGTTAGAAATGCTGCTCAAAGTAACTCACCACGCGGACGAAGTCGCGAGCAAAAGCTGGTATATCTATATATATATTCGGATTGATCATCCATAATTAGCTATAAGTAACTATCGTGGGCGTATGTGGGGATGTGTCTGATCAAATAATAACACTAGGATAATGCTTTCACAAATCTTCTAATTACAATCCAAAACAATTATAACTTCTTTCACTATAATTAGAATTACTTAAATTAGTTTTAATGTCCACAACGAAATGCGAGACAGTCTCAACGCACTCACAGCCCGCCAAACATGCTTTATGTTTTTTTTACTTTTCTTCGATAACAAACAGGTCATAGACTGGACTGACATAGACCCGCGTCCATCATTTTGGCGCGAAGCTTTATTACCAGCACTGTGAAGCGTAGATTCCGTCAAACGCCGATAGATGGCGTTGGCATTCCGATTTAAAAATCGACTCGATGACGACATATATATGTTCATTCAGTAAGAAGAACGAAGCCATAGTAGCAGTGTGGATATGCGCGGCGTCCCGCGCTGCCCGCAGCTGCGGCCCCGGCGGGGAGGGGGCGGAGTGCCGCAGCGCCGCGGGGGGGCTGCTGCGCCGCTGGGGGGGCGCGCCCCGCGGCCTCATGCGTCTGGTGCTGCCCTCTGCGGCCGGGCCCACCACACAGTCAGTACCCATTCGTTCATAGCAATAGTATTACGAGCTAGACTTCGGGATGAATAATAACGCCGATTTAATAGGGTATGACAACCGGGTAAAACAACAGAGTTTCACGGACTAATTAGATTTTTTATGCGTTTTTTATTGAGAATATTTTTCACTATAGCATTGAAAACAATAATTTTTCATCCTCCCTATTCATAATCTGACGTCATTTTCTTCATAAAAATCACAAAAACAACCCAACAACAAAATACACACTTACATTCACTGTAACAATAAACAATCGCTTACAGGTTCGCTTGTATTTGCTCTCGTTTTCAGTTCATTTGATCACTGAAAGAATGCCGCGACAGATAGACCACCGCGTTTATATTGGGGTCGAAGTAAACTTTACAAGATCTAGAATGCGAAGTGCTAGCGCGGTTCAAATGACACGTAGCGCCATCTAGTAACGAGCAAATGAAACGTAACGCTATAATAATAATGATTTATTAAATAATTACTTTTACCACTAGTCATGTCCACAAGAATATTTAACAAACTTCCAAGTGCAATTAAAAGTATAACCCAAGAAAAAGGCTTCATAGAACAAGTTAAGAATTTGTTAGTGACAAAACATTACTATACAATTAATGAATATTTAACAGATACATTTAATTAACTAAATAAACAATATCAATCATTTAATTATGTAAAAGATAATAAAAAACAATTAATATTTAAAAATAGTATCAACCTATATTTGGGATTTTAGAATTCAATTACATATGAACGTAGATTATATATTTTTTTCTTATAAATATGTGTCCTCTACTCTCCTAATTGTCGTGCCCGACGGGGTCCATGATGATACATTTCCTCTTTGTAACACCTTTGTTATACATTATGGAGTGCAATAAAGAAATTGAAATACATTAGTCGTCTTGAGACCATTCCAAGTAAATAGAATTTTACTTGTGTCAGGGGTGCCTCGCTCATTTCCGTTATATATTAAACTACATCACATTTAGGTGATACATTAATAACATGCTTTCTTTTTTCTCCTTTTATCTTTCTCAGCTCTTTTCTTGTTTGCCTGTATGTATGCATAAACGAGTTGTAGGTTTCAACTAGAAATATATATATATATATAATACATACATATATAAATAAATCGTTTTGTAGCTTAAGAAATCTCAGTGTACAGATAGCGGAAAACAACTTTGTTTTATACTATGTACCTTACATTAACCCGAGTAACACTGGCTGTTTTTTGTTAAATATCCAAGATGATGGATAAATAAATAAAACAATAGTATTTTGAATTATTACCAGAGGTCGGAATTAGGTAGAGTCATTAATGTACTTGCATCGAAATTTTGATATTAATGTGGACCTTCCCGGGATTTCTTTATTTCTTCTTTCTTTCTTTCATTGATGTAAGTTTGGCAACGTCGTGCGTGCAGTAGTTTAAATTGTGTAAAAGTAAATAACTTTTTATTTTAAAAATCGCGGGATTTTTTCTGCTCTTTAAAATTAATCTTGGGATTTGAGGCATATCCACTTTATTCTTTCGCTGTATGAAATCAGTGTAAGTCCATGAATAACTCTACCTAATTCCGACCACTGATTATTACAAAACGCAATGAGAATTTTATTAGCTATATCATAATAAAACTTGTCTCATTTATTTCTAGTTTGATTTTGTTTTTTGTCACAGTTACAGTAACCGAACTGATATAATGCATTTTTAGTCATACTTCAGATGTTGTACTTTTACTTCAGACGTCAATGTTATATCTGTTTACAGGCATCGCTTACTCTGCCTACTCGGTCAATGTATACTTTCACCGGACAATGAGAATGTCGTACGCGCGTACGAGTCTACGTGCGCGACCGTGTTAGGGTCCAATAGTGATGTGATCACGTGGGGCAGGAACCCGTATCCTAAACGATTGCCCCGGCTGGCGATTAGATTGTTCCCATCTGAAGAGAAGTATTTTGATCACGAAATGAATTTGGCTCCGGAAGACACGTAAAACAACACGAAAAGTGACTCTGTCGACGAAATAAACTCTTTTTTGTATTGAATGTGTGAAAATCGTTAAAACGTAATTTTACGTTATACTCAGTTTTGTACTGTGGTGTATTAAAGTTTCGTTCGAAATCCTCTTCTGAAGTTGTCGAATATTATTGTGTTTGGTCACTGGCGGACTAGTGGGGGTGAGGGGGGAGGTCTGGCCTGTGCCGCCATTGTGATTTATTTAGTTAAACAATGTGATAGGGTAGCCCATCAGGGTTTGATTGAAGTATCGAAGTTCCTCGTATTAAAATAAGTGTGTAAGAAAAAAAGTAGTTTATGTAAATGAAGTTCGTGATTGATTTTTATTTTTGTTTAAAAAAGGAATGATTTTTTTTCTTATTAAGGCAATGTTTTTGTTGTCTAGTAATGTGCATCTGCTCTGAAAATATTTTATGAAACAAAAATATTTCTCACTGAGCGAGCTATTGTTCAAAAGTTTTTTTGTACAGAGTGGAAGAGAAACAAGTTCCTAGACCATTCGCAATATCATAGACATTATAATACTATGCAATATTATATAGATACTTTGCAACCCTTTACTGGGACGAAGTGTTCTATTAGGATCGAGCTAAATCTCACGATTTAACCATTTTCATTGTCTTATAATATTTGAAAATTATAAAAAATGTCGTTAAGTTCTATTTGTGACGTCACGTCCTCTTTGAAGTTTACGCGGCTTTTTTAAACAGATAAATTTTAAACGATTTTGGGAATTTAAATAATGTAATAAGGTGATATTGTTTGTGGAAATAAACATCTATGTTGATAAATTTGAATAACTTTTTTGAAAGTTGTCAGATTCCTTATAGAAACTTTATATTGTTGTTTTTTAGCAATTTGGCTTTTAAGTTGTTGGTTTCCTCAAGCTGATTACCTTATGAAAGCCTTTTTATTGTTAAATTACTGAATTAGAGTTGGTAGTGATAACGTGGTAATTAAAAAAAATGTCTTCAACTCAAACCAAATTGTAAAGATTTATTATTTTATAATTCGCATGTAAATATGTGTTATATATTGTTATGTAATATAAAAAAATTGTTGCTTGTAATTTTCATATTTCAAATTGATTAGATAGAAAATTATATAATTGTATTAACTATCATAATCGATAGCATGAAATATCTCTTATTTTTTCTACTGTGTAAAATCATATCATTTTAAATTTATAAATAAATATATAATAATGTTTCTGCTGTTTTATTTCTAATAAATCTCCGAAAAGGGTGCTTATGGTTGGAAACAAATCGACACTTTCACAATGTAACAGCCACAGTAGGTTGCAAAAACGTCCATTAAAGCTTAATGACGACTTTAAGTTCTTATGAATGTTCGCAATTTGAAATTTGTATGGGTATTGTGGCATTAATCTAATGACAATTATGATAGACACTTGTGCAACTGGCTGATCACTTCGTTTAGTGCACATCAGCACAAAATAGGCTTAATTTTTGTAATAATGCCCGAATCCCGCTGAGAGTGAGTGAGACGGTCGCCTAACACTTTGTATTTCACACATGGTTATTTAAACAAGATTCAATAAACATTTTAATCATACATAAAAAATATTTTTAACTTAACTGTCAACAGATTAGGACTTAAAATCAATTGAAGATATTTCACCTTTTGCAGGAACTTGAAGTGCTGTCTACTGTACCTTGATGCGCTATCAATATTCTTAAATACATTCTTTATAGCAGGGGTGGACAGCTCCTTTATAGTCCGAGTCGCTTTGTCAAAATATGAAATTTTGCCGCGAGCCGCAATCAAAAGCCAGTGGCGGACTAAGTGAAGGAGAGGGTTGAAATTAATTGTCGACCCGGGCCTCCGATTAGGTTAGTCCGATACTGTTAAAATATCATGCCATTCTTAACTTGGATGGAAATTTTTGTTGCAACGTTGCACTTAGTCTTTCATATTTGATGGCGCATGGGGCTCCCGAGCCACAGTTTGACCACCCCTGCTATTATTCATATACGTTTTAGTAACATCATCTTTTTATCTTTCTTCAAGCAGATTATTGAAATATATGTTTCCGTAGTATCTTTACTTCCCGCCTTAGTAACTCCTAAAACAAATTTCGATTCGATTTTTACGTTTGTATAGGAAATATGTCCGAGGTATATGTATGAGGCGTATAAAGTCGTATATTCAACAATTTGATTATGATAGATGAAAATCGATATCTAATCTCCCTAAAAATTTACAATAACAGTGCAAAAGATTAGATTAACAATTATTACATGACCCTTATCATGCATGTTGTTTACAATAACTACAAATACACAAACTACCAATAACTATAAAATGTGTGAAGTTTCATATCGTCATTGCAATGTGTATGCATTAGGCTTAATATATTTATTTTTGTTGGTACATAGCCACAAGTAAATCATAAATTTGACAGTTTTTACAACTTGATTTGCTATTTATTGTACATATGTTTCTTGTTTTAAATAACAAATGTTTGGTTCTTATCGATATAATTATAGTATGAATAGGTACGAGAAATATTGAAGATTTCTGAAAATTTAGGAAATAACATAAAAATTTATATATATAATAAATAAATATATAGTAAATAAATATATAGCAAAATTTATATACATATTTCATATAGTATACATAAATAATGAAGTAGGAAGCTGTTATAAGTTGTAATCAATTAACAACCTGAAACAACGAACCGCAACTTTAACAACATCCAGACCCAAAACAATATAGAAAAAAACAGGGATAGAACCCTGCATCACTAACCATGTGCGTGCGACCCCCAAACTGAGCAGGACTTACTACACGTTATATTTGATTATCCAATCCATACAATAGACAGATGTCACATAGAACAAAACCTAAAACGCAATCTAAATAGGTAAAATATGGCGCGCATCATGGGAGACAATGAAGATAGAGAAAAAATTCTAAAATTAGTAAGACCAATAATAGAAAAAGCAATTCAAATGAACAAAGATTAATTTAGGGGGCAAAGAACGCAAACAAATTGTGGGGCTGTACCGTCGGCATAAACCGGTGATGCGAAACATGGTATAAAGGAACAAAAATTACGAGACGGTAAGGGGATGAATGATGAATAAGGTGGTTGAAATGACATGTATTTGAATGTAATAATCAATAATGAATGAATATAATGATAATCAAATCTTAATGTAATTAATTCAATGTATTAAATTAAAATGGTGGAATCCGTTTATTATGACATCGAAGGGAATTGACAAACACGTCATTATAAGCGGACGTCATACAAAGAGTTAGGTGATAAAAATTGTTTTTATGTAATTATGTATGTATTTTAATATTTTTAATAAAGCATAAAAAAATTACAAGTAAAAATTATAAACGATACATTTAAGTATGTAATATTAGTATTTTTCATTTTTTTTTATTAAGAAATCTGTAATTATTGTCTGTTTTTTGTTTTTTTTATTTTATTGTAATAACAGTCTCTAATAGTATTGTCTAAAGAAGATCACCATGGTCAAATTATCATTTTCAATATTGCTATGAACAAATCGTGATAATAATTCTGCAGCCTTTAATGCTTCTTTTGCGGTAGGTTCTTCCTCGACTTCCCCTTCTCCATCACTTTCAAGTTAGCCACGTGCCGAACGACGCCGAGAATCACCGACAATTATCGGAAGTGTAAAAAGTCTAGGCGGTCATTATAACCGGAAATAATTTATTAAAAATGGGTCATAATAACCGACATGTCACTATAAGCAAAGTCATTATATCCGACGTTTTTTCAAGAATTTTATATGAAAACCAAACTTCGTTATATAATTACGTCATAGTAAGCGGTTGGTCACTAGAGGCGGTGTCATATTAAACGGATTCGACTTTAATTCAATGTATTGCGATAATGTATGTATAATGAATATAATGAAATTTAATGGTAATGTAAATCAAACAAATTTAATTGTAACGCATAATAATAATGTATCAAGAAAGAAATAATTGTAATGTATAATAATAATGTAATTCAATCAAATAATCCATAATGTATTAAGAATGTAATTAGTAATGTAACTGTAATAGCATTAATGACAAGTAGTATTAGGAATAATGGATCTATAATGTAATAGATAAAAATAAGATATAAAATTGTAAAATGTAACAAATATATAGTCTAAGATCCGAACCTAAATCGACCTTCTCCGGGTTGATAATGGAATAAAACTTATTATATAGTTAATTTAGTATATTAGAAAATATATTAAAAATGGGTTCGCAAAAAAATCCTGGACAGAATAAAAAATTAATTCTGACTTAAAGTATAAAACATATAGAATGTGCAGACGTTGGGTTGTCTATTATTTACCTGGACGAACTACTGGGTTGTCAGGTATAAACAGGTATATCGATGCCAGTTAATTTCACTTGATTTGATAATAAAAAAAAAATATAACAACATAAGCGCTGTTTCATTACGAACACTATTAAATTAAATTTTTCTAATTATCTTGATGTTGCAACATTTAGTAAAAAAATATTTTTTAAAAAATAATTAAAAATATTCTGTCCAGGATTTTTTTAGCGAACCAATTTTTAATATATTTTCTAATATACTAAATTAATTATACAATAAGTTTTATTCCATTATCAACCCGGTGAAGGTCGATTTAGGTTCGGATCTTCTACTAATATATGGAGGTAATAATTATAAGATTAAATACATGTGATGAACAATGATGGGATAGTTCAATGATAAAATGTTAAAATGTAATAAAAAATTAAATAAATGTAACGAGAGGCCCTGTCGGTCGTGCACAGTATACAAGTGATAGTGTGGAGCGATCGAAGGGCTGATCGGTCAAAAATAGGTCGCTGGGTTGGACGTAGAGGTGTGGGGTGGGTAAAATGAAAGTTTAGGGTACAGTCAAACATGACTAAACAAAATATGCTAAATTAAGTAGGATTAGAAATAAGTAGAAATATTAAAAGGACAAGATAAATAAATTAAGGTAAAACTAATTGATATAAACAAAATCAAGAAAAGGAAAGAAGAGTGTATCAGTTATAAATATTATAAGAAAAGACAAGGGCAAAAAGAATAATGCCCACTGACTAGGTGTCCTAAACACCGGGAAAAGAAATCAAATAAAGATAAAATGACACAAAAACGACCTGATACAGATTGGTCGGTCAGAAGGAGAGAAAAAAAAACCATTCGGCCACGAAGGTCGCCATTACTTTATTATATAATTGATTTATATGTAAACACTACGAAGTATTTTAGAGTCCTGTTATACGTTGATAAATTACGTTTAAGATTATGATAAAAATCAGACAGTGTTTTAGATAAAGATTTTTCAATGATATCAATTTTTGGGTAGTGAGCGTAATATCTTAAAATCTATTTGAACTTGTCACTTGTACTAGAATCTTAATCTTGGTGTATGTACTACCGGATAGGTCGATATGGGTTTTCCCGAGTAGAGGTTTTGGTACACCGAAGGAGTTTTGATGGGTAGGCCTCCGATGACGGAGGAGAGTCCCATCCTTCCTCCTGTCGCTCGCCAGCTGGCAGGGCTGTGCACTAAAGCAATTTCGCGACACATAAAAAAGGTTGATATGTGTTATTTCTTCTTCAAATTATACAGTAGTCATGCGGTACTTCAGCTCTTATTAATTGGATACTATAAGTATTTTTTTTACGTACGTAGTTATAGTATCCACACATATACACACACATATACATTAATTGGGGGAATTTTTTGTCAATTATACAATTTGCATTCACTTGCATATATTTTAAAATGAAGAATATCATAATACATAACTTAGAATTACTTCCATAAATTATGTGAATGTTGAAAGTGTAGCGATACGTATCGCTATCCATAGACCGCTGTATCGTATCACCCCGTACGAAAATAGACGGTACTAAAAATAAACGATACAGGTTTCTATGGAGAGCTATAAGTATCGTTTACGTTCAACGCTCACAAAATACTTTGAGTCATTGTCCGTTTTTTCGCATGCACAAGAAATAAATTATACATAGTTGCAGCAGGTTATACACATGATGACAATTACATTGTGATTTATCAAGTAAGATACAAGGTACCTTTTCAAAGAACTTTTACATGACAAGGTTTCGGTGGCAGTAGGGTACATAGTCCAACAAATTTGGTCATTCGATACTATCTCGCAAACCGTTTGATTGGAGAAGTTGACAGTAAACGTATTAAAAAAGTATTATTCAATCACTTGAACTGCATTTTACAAAACACTAGAAAACACTGGCCGTTTCACTTTGCGGGTGGAGTTAACCTCTTGGTGTTGTAATGTATAACGAGTGCTAGCACACCGGAGGCTGTGGCGGCGGCCGCGACGCGGGACTGCGGCAGGACTCCGCCCCACAACCAGCCGCGGGGCAGCCAGCTCACCGCGTGCACTACGTCTAGAGCTAGCTTAGTTGAAGTGAGCCGAGCAGTTGAGTACCGTGCGCCCGCGCATAGAGGACGACTAGGGGATTGAGCGACCTGTGCCGCGAGATGGAGAGCTCTCAACGATCTGTCACGAAATAAACAAATATTAGTCAATAATTATTGCCGGTTCTTCTTGGTACAAGGTCTCCCATCGTAGCTTTGCAAACCCCTGGCATAGTTTACGACTTTCACGAATGCTATAATTAAATGATTTTTCTTTGATTTGAATACATTGCCCGATCCCAAACTATTGATTAAAAAAAATTAATTGTTATAATCCACTCAATCAAATTATAAATAACTTAAGTTTTTTACGTTTCATATGGCTTAAAGTCCTAGTTTATGAAATTGCTATCAACAGATCATTAAAAAAATATAAATCAGTAGTGAAAACCTGTTAAATTGACGTTTGAAATGGCTTAAGGTTTTAGGAGTGCTCAACTTCAAATTCTTAATTCAGAAACCGAGAGTAAGTCCGACAAATTTATTCTGAGTATTAATTAATACTCTAAAGCACGGTCGCTGAGAATCTTAACTACTTGCATTTTGTCATTGTACTGTACCTACACGTGGTTGCGCATCAGGTTACCACAGTATGTAAAAAATTTGCAATCGTTTTGCAACTCTATCTAAATTCATTGATTTTAAAACAAATGGATAAATTTGACAGATTTTTATAACCTGTACGAGTAGCATGACGAACTCGAGAACGTTTTGTCTACACCCAAATGTCACTCTTCTCGGGTGCGCACATACGATATCTCACTCTTGACCCGAGAATGTGACATTTGAGTGTAGACATAGGGTTTCTCGAGTTTGTCATGTTACGCTTGCTGATGTATAATATTGAGGCTTTTTATTCATAAACAAAACATATCAAACCTAATAAATCCTAAGAAAGCGGCGAGCGACCAAAAAAGTTTGTGTGCAATTCTAACACGATCGCCGGCCTCTGTGCTGAGTTTCAGTACTCCTGTGTCCAAAAGCCACACCAACTTCTCTGCTTGAAGATATGCCAGCGTTAGCACACCGTTTGTGACTCCTAATGTGCCCCAGAACAGGCCATCCTAAAATATTATGCTTTTAAATAAAACATAGGTAGGTATTAAGTTTAAAAAAATTACGCCATTAAATTTTTAAAATTATAGTATAGTCAATATTTAAAAAAATACTGTTTAGTATTTAAACTAATCAAATTAATTAAATATTATCTTTAAAATGTTAGATTACCTAGTTCTGATCCGGCAGTCTGTGTATTTTTACTAATTCAAATCACAAAGAGGAAAGATTTAATTGTTAGCATTCAACATTAAACAGGGTCCAAAACTACTGGATCGGTTTTAAAAATTCGGTAACCTATGGGAAGCATCATACGCGGGTGAAATAGGCTATAATTTCGCGAGCGAAGTTGTGGGAATTTTTTACCAGGAAGAGAATCACTCATGTCATATACTTTTTATACTTTCATTTACCTTTTCTCCTAGTCCATAGGTAACCATATTCTTGAGTGCAGCCGCGTCGTCAAACAGTCGTAACGTAGCGCGAGCGCTCGCGAGTCGCGCGCTCGCTGTCAGCAAATCTTTTCTCTCTGCCGTAGCGCCCCATAATTTTAACGTGTAGCTCGCTAGACTCACCACCTTTTTATATAATCATAAAGTATTAAATAGCAGTAGTAGCAATAATTTATGTAGAATGGAGGGGATCTGGATGTCTCTTGAAGAAGAAGAAAAACCATTAAAAACTGTAGTTTCATTCGGTTTCGATCCGTTTTCGATTCGATTGTCTTAAAAATAGAAATTTAAACAAAATTTCTATTTTTAAGACAATATCCAGAGTTACTTTCATTATACAGGATTACAAATGAATAAAACGTTTGCACTCGCAATGCGCCTTTTCTGAACAAGGTGTACCTTAGGGTTGAAATTTATTATACTCCTAGATGGCGACGAATTAATTTCATACATATATTTATTAAAATTTTTATTTAAATAAATAATAAATTTTGGGTACCTATGAACGGTGTGGGCAGTATACATACGAGAATATTTGATAAGTATAATACCGGATGAATTTTGGCTACCTTTAATGTTTTGTACAAATTCTTCAGTGGCGAAGTAGCGGTTAGAAATTAACTGTTTCTATATTCAAAAAGACTGCACAAATACACTATAGAACATAACAAAGAACATGGAGCTTAAAAATAAGTAATCACAATCAGTTTCAAAAGTAATTTTATTACTAGAAAATTATTTACATAAATTTTTCGTCAATTTCGTAATAAACATACCTAATAAGTACACATACCTTATCCCGGTTGACATGACATTGTAATAAATCACAAATTTCATTCACCAAATCCATTACGGCTGTCACAGTGCCGATATATTCGTAACAATATATAAAGTAAATAACGTGTGAGCTCTAATACATATTCACTCATTTCTTATCACAGAGATAAAAGATACTGCATATTATCACATGTTATTTTGATAAAACAATATACATTTTTTAAACAATTCATGTTATATAATAGACATCAAAATGTGGCAAAGTTATTGGTTTGTAAATATTTATGTATTAAAAATGTTTTGTAGTCCCAATCAAAAATTCTAGATCCCGCCTAACTTATGACAATCTTATAATGTGTCCGCTTAATACTGCGTTTTGTTCTACGGGATGTTATGGGTCAATATCCCCAACCTGTACAACAATAGACAGTACTACGCGGAAACGATATAAAGCTGTATGAATAGCGATATGTATCGTTAATATTTGGCACTCATAGCGTGTGTCAGTGACCGTTTCTTCGACTATCCTAGATACAACGTAGATTAGAATATAAAAAAGAAAATAATAGAATAGGTTCTTTCTGGACCAGCTCAAACCACTATAGATCCAGTATAAGTAAAGAGAAAAAAAAGCGAAAGAAAATTGGAGGTTCATTGTTTAAGCGAATTAATAATAAATCATACTTTTCTTTTAGAAAACAGTTGGACATCATTTTATTAGAGATTTACATAACAATGTTATTATTCTACTTGGGACTGGAGCAATTTAACTATCTATATTTACATTTTTCTGTCATTCATCGTCAATATGTTCTTGTATTTCATTTCTAAAAAATGCAGGTACATTATTCATAGTAACATCTGTTATTATAATACTTAATTATTTACACATTATAATAACTATTGGCTAAGTGCTTTTTTGTTAATAAAGTCAAGAATTTAGGCAGCCTGTACAAGCTGTCACCTTATTTAAATGTCGCATACACTTAGGTACTTAATAATTTACTGGCAATATTTGATAATTGTAAAAAATCCAATTAATTATTGGTATATAAAAATAAGTAGTTACACTGATCTAATTACTACTGAAGAATAAGTTTCTTTGTAAAGCAACACAACAGCTTAAAGCCCATTTTGAACTTAATTGTCCTAACATTAAGGCTTACGATAAATTGGTCAGTTTTGAATAAACATGCTATCGACTTATAGATTCTTTTCTCAGAACAGAGAAGTTTGTAAGAAATAGGTCAATGTTATCTTTAAAAAAAAGTTAATAAGAATTGACTAGTTTCTCAGGTAAATATAGAATTGTATATTGTAAATAATGTCTGGAATACCTGGAATGACTCTTTTGTAATTGGAAGACACATAATTAAAAAGAAATCTAATTAAGAAAATGAATTATCATATTTATACATATTACGGTATATTCTAAGCTGCACTTTCGATCTAGTTAGTTACCTTTTGAAATATCAATGATCAAACACAACGCAAGTAAAGTTTTTGTTGAATCACCATCATCGACCATCACGTCAATTATTTCAACAAACGCTTTCTAGCAAAGTAGAGGGCTATTCCCATAACAGAGGAAGTGGTTGCTATGGCAGCCACTTTGGTAGCGCCAATTTTCTCGCCCCATAAGTAACCCTGTGGCAGGCAGGAGACAGCGTGGGCAATGTCGAGGCACATTTTAACCGCCGTTACGGTCTGTAATGCTAATCTTGTGTCTAAGCCCCGTCGCGCTTCCACCGAGCCTTCCGATGCACTAAGGCAATCTCTGCTCCACCACAGTTGTCTGATAGATCTGATTGTCCTGTAATAATAGTTATATTTTAGACGTCATCAAAAAAATACGTCAGCAAAGCGAATGGTAGTTCAGATTTGGATGAAATGTAGAATATGGATTTTCTAATCTATAGCTACTATCTGTCTTAACAGTTTCTAGTAATTATGTCCACATGTAAAATAATTCCTTTATATGATTACTTACTCGGAAGTTTCATTACGGTACCATTCCCTAAACAGATATACGTGCATATTAATTACATATACATATACTGTAATACTTGACTCTTTTGCATGTTTTGTTTTGTTTAATCTTTTTTGCCTATAAAATAGCAAATGGCGGACCTAATTTCCAAAAAGGCATGCTGTATTAGTCAAATCGATGATAATCTAAAGTAAATTATATTTTTTTATAATCATATATTAGTTATTTTCAGATTCTGCATTTCTTCTTATTATTGTAAATAGTATAAATAGTGTCCGGACGAATGTTCGGTTTGTGTCGAGTATCGGCAAAAAAAGATTTTCGGTTTCGGTGGCAAACCTACCGAAACTACGACCGAAACCGAAACTGCATTCTCGCGCTGTGAGAAATTTCGCGGAAGAAACCCGCGGCAATGACTTTGGAATCCCGCGGCAATGGCGGTGGACTTTTATTTTTTTATCGATGTGTTACCCACAATGTTGAATTTAGTTTAGAAGACGGTAATTTGTTTTTGAGATATTTTATTTTGTTTTTAATATTACTTAATTAGTAAGTGCTTATTGATATAGGTAACAACTTAAACAAGTAATTTTACTTTTAATATTTAAAGAAACATGAATGGATAGATTCCATCTAACTGCTTAAATAAACACCTCATCTATTTTTAGTGCTTTTTGGGCACAAGTATTCGTTCCTTTAATGAGGGGACTGAAGGGTTGTTAAGTATGTTGATTATCATGACGAAAATGTCTAAGACTGAATAGCTGTGTGATTTAAAGATAACAAAACAAAGACTGACTGATTGTAAAAACGTTTTCTTTATTTTTCCCCCCTAATTATGATGTTTGTAAGGAAGTTTCGGTTATGGCCGAAACTGAGACCGTTGCCGAAATTCGGTTTCGGTTTGGGTTGGAAAATCCAGTTTCGGTCGGATACTAAGCATAAATCGAACTTAAATAATACTCTTTCTCTTTGAGGCATGTGCCGACAGTTTATAGAAAAACTTTTAATACAATTTTGTGTGGTAAACGAAATACTCACTGTAGTAATGCTATGTAGAGACTAATCGCCCAAAGTGATGTACTGAGGGTGTCCAGTTTGTATGCGGTGTCTGGGTGTAATTTAATGATGCCAACTTCATGAAGCCAGCATGCTTTCTCAACAGGTAGGAAGGTTTGGTCCACTATATTAGCGATTACCCCTAGAGCTGCAGCAAATTTTGAAGTTTCCTGAGAAATTTTAATAACATGTTACATGAAAAATTTAGTCTTTTTATTATACATATATTATAATTGTGAAATTAAATATGCCAATCATCATGACTCATATTGCCTAATAAGGTTTATAATTAATGACAATTATCAAATATATTGTTATGGTGTTTGTTGCCTATTCAGTTCTAGAAAATGTGGAGCCTTTTTAGGAAGAACTTAGTAACCGCCGTTTTGTGTATTTTACATGATAAGTTTTTATTTATATTTCCTAAAGTATTGACATTATCATTTTGAAAATTCCATTAATTGCTGTACAGGCGACTACCTATTGATGTAATTAGTACTTGAAATTCTTATACAAATGTCGCTTACGCTAAAACTGACGACATTGTTAGTTAAAGGTGTTTTCAAGTATGTCGCTTACGATAAATCTTAAAATATGAATCTAAAATTAGAAATAAAGAAATGTTGGAGGTTTCGTTTTTTTAGAGATACCACAACAGTCAAAGTGGGACAAAGAGTCAGTAACTCCATAAACATATTTATTTTTACTTAAGAGACTCTTTTTAACGTAATTGTATGGTATGACTCTTTTGTCACACATTTTGTTGTCCTTTGTCACAGCGAGCGCCCGCTGCTATGAAGTGTGATGCAGCGGTGGTGAGAGTTGTGAGCGGCTTGAAGTATTGCGGTATTGTCGACAACAGCCTAAAGATGACACCTAGGAAAACGTTCAGTGCGGGATGTTGTGGTGTGGCTAGCGAAAAAAAACTTGAATTGTATGGAATGCCGCAGTAAGCTACCGAAAAATGATGAGACGCACACTCCTATACGCCAACATCCAAGTGAGTCTGGTGACTGTCCTGATGTTGCTATTCACAGTCCAGATAATATAACAGTACGGTCAGACACTCGTAAGGCTCAGATATCTAGCCAAAAGTTGGCGTAAAATGTTTTACAAGATATTAAAGAGTCTGTTATGCAATAGCTGAAAAATATACATAGTAAATTCGAAAGGCAGCTTTTGTGTAGAATTAATAAATTAATTGTGGATCAATTTCTTTCTTTTAAAAACTTTTCTAAATTTATGACGACTTACTACAACTAACTCTTTCGTAATATCATTATTCAAAAAACTTAATTAGGTTAATAAGTACAATTTGTAACAAATTGGTTAATTTTTGCAATAAAAAATATTACAACAAGAAATAGAAAAGATGGTGAATTGTAGATCTATCTTTGTGATTTTATTTCTGTAGTTTTGTCTAGTTTAGTTTGGTTGAGACAGAACCCAAGAAATATAATGTAATTTTTTCATTGTTAATTATAGCTAATTTGGACAATATTTCTTAGTAAAAAACCAATTAAAAGATTTTTAGTGCACCAAACCGCTTAATAATGCCCAGTAACCTAGCTATTTATGAAGCATGTTTTATCAAAGTCATAAGTATAGTTTAATAAATTTTACTGATTTCAAATATAGATATAAAAGATATAACTCGAAAAAATGACACGGATTAATTAGTCTTTCAACCATCCACAATACTATACATTCGTACACTTTCATTTCTTAAGATCAATAGAACTAGAGACTAGAATGTGAGTCCATCTATTGACTTGAATTGTAGTGAATCAACTTAAAATTTTAAACACTGTTAAATTTGTCTGAGATACTTGTAAGTGTGTTTTGATCCACTATAGAATACTACATTCGTTAAAATATAAGAAATAAACAGTTTTCATCATTTCTATGATCAACTTGTCAAGGTAATGGCACTGTTTCTATAATAAAACTAAAACTTGGTTGTACTTACGATAAAAACTTTCAATTTCTTAAAAATAATTTTATACAACTTTTACTTCAAACTAAATGAGTAAGGTGGAAATGTAAGTGATCAAATAAAACCTAAACCTAATTTTTTTATTTTGGCACTTACAGTGTTTTTCCTGAAAAGGCTTGATGTTGAAAAGAATCTTCTTCTTTGATTATGATTTTTTTAACATAACAACAAAGTAGTATAGCTAAGCCTGGCTATATTAAGAGAGTTCATTCTTATGTAAATAATTATGAGATACCTTTCTTATATATCTACAAAGATTATTAGTGTGGTATTTAGGTACTTACATGTCCTCCTAAGCCATAACTGTATGTGTGTCTTAACATAGGAATGTCATCAAACAATCTGAGCATCAGCCGAGCACCAGACAGACGTGATCCAGCTGACTGCCATGCTTTGTCGTTTATTATGCAACCATAAAGCTTAAAAGCGTAACACGTTAATCGGACCACCTGTAAACATTCATAATGAGCATTAGAATCAATAACACAATAAAAATAACACCTTTATATGCAATATCGAGGAAAGCAATAAATATAATTCATATAAAGGCAAATTTTAAATTTTCACAATATCAACGATCATAAAATATTAAATTTTGATGAACTAAAATTGCAGATTGCAGTTTATCTACTACTACAGACAATGTTAAAATAACAGAATTAATAGATATTATATTTTAACATACATGAGTATAAATAAATATCTTAGATTATGTGTGACTATCAAATAATGTTAAAACAAATTTAAATAATGCTAGAAATTTTTAGTTCAAGTAGTTTAGAAGGGTACAACAGAATTGGCACTGGTAGCTATCTTACAACAAGGGCAACTGGCTTTATAGTTATTATTTATATCACGGTAGTTCGACTTCCGCATATTTACCTTATCTCTGCCATTATAGCTATCCAAAAGTTCGCAAATATCTTCAATTAAAGAAGACATGCTACAAGAACTTCCAAAAGCAAATGTAGTCTAAAGAAATGCACTTTGCCTATTGATAACTTATCGGACACGATTGATTTACGATCAGATTACCACGTGGTCTTAAGGACGTGCGACTGTGCAATATTATAAGCGCTAACTATAACATTTCACCAATCTTTACTAACTTGAATAACTTGTAAACCTTGAAACTTTGATTGCAAAAGGTACAATCACCTATCAGCTGATATGACAGCATGACAATCAGCGCTCATTTGTCAACTTGACATTAACAATCACCAGCTGACGATAATATTACTTGTTTTAAGTTTAATAAAGGCATAGTTCTCCAACTCATAGAACTATGTTAAAAAATATTTTATTTTAAATAAACTGATGGTGATATTTTAATGCTTTATTTTTATTTACCATCTTTTTTAGAAAGAAAAAGGTACAAAGGAAAATCACAAGATGATTCGCATTCTCGAGTCAATGAATACGAAACACTTATTTTTATATGTCTCTTTGTCATATAAAATAGCGAAGTATATTAGCATTACTTTTGTAAATGAAAGCAAGAATAAAATGACGGTTTTTAGAAGAAAAAATAACTCAGGCGAGGTTGGCTTTAAGGACTTTGATTTCTTTACATTGTCAACAATTATGGCGTTTGTGACGTTTTTGACAAACCACAATAGTGTTTTTATTTCAAACTTCCAAATTAATAAATTAAGTATGAAAAGTGTAGATTGTATTTTATTTCGACATATTTGATCATTAAAAATAATATTGCTGTTATCATGACAGTCTTTAAAATCGATAATATACCTGAGTTCTCCAAAAAAGACCGTATAGTGGTCGTGGGTGTAATAGGGAAATCTCCTTACCGGTACCCAAATAAAACTACTCCTCTTCTGCCGTCAGTAAATACTGATGAGGTACAAAATTATTATAAATAGTTATCAAACCATTTTCATCTTTAATTTGCTTCTTATGATGAGTTTAATGTATCTTGTAATTTTATGTAAACGTTACTTTGTAATTAAAAAATAATTATGTTTTGTTTACAGAATGGTATTGAATGCCACTGGGATGAGAGACGCAGCGTTCTGTATTTGCATGCTGTGACATATTTAGACACCAAACAGCTAGCAAAGCTTGCAGAAGATTTAGATGAAAATTCTAAAAGCACTGAAAAAGATGCCGATGCAGCACACTGGCTGGTTGCATCAGGGGAATTAGCTGCGGACTCCTGTCGAACAATTGCACTTTTGTTTCATTTGTGTCATATTGTGGTATTATCACATCCCACTCCTGTTTTTGATCTAGGATACTTGCAGCTATTTAAAGCAATAGATGCATTTAGGTAAGAATTATAATAATAAGTTTTGACAAATACATCCACCAGATTTGTGATTATATATTGGAATAAGAAAGCAATCCCAATTTTTATAAATGTTTTAGATGGGCATTTGAAAGAGGTATAATTATTATGTTCATTAATTTGCATTCATAATGCTATACTAAAAATATCCTTAATGTAAAAATGCTAAAAAGATCCACTCGGTCCCGGGCACTCTGATATGGGATTCGAACCCATGATCTTTCGCAATCCGGGCGTCTGCTCTAACCACTGCACTCCAAGCACTGTTACTTTTCAGTACTACAGAGCGTGTTCTCATCAATGTTCAGGCAATCCACCTAAACAGCTGAAAGAAATATTTCAATAAATATTTAAACTTTTGATAAAGATGATTTGTCCTAATTATTATATTTGATAAATTTCGTATTCATAACGCTATACTGAAAAATATTTTTAATGAAAAATGTTCACAAAATCCAAGTGCAACAACAGCATAAGGTCAACGCATATCCGTGGTCAACGACATCCCAATGCTATGCTTGAAAATGCATGGCCAGTACACACTACGGCGTCCGTATTGAGTTTAAAAATGAGTTATTTTAATAAGGAAAATGATGAACTTTTGATTAATTTGATTAGGTGTAATAGTATCTTGTATGATGCACCTTCATTTTGTTGATTTGTGAATATATTTTATTAACTTTTTTCTTTTTTAAAATAATAATATAGTTCATCAATCTCTCCTTCTTCTAAAAATAAATACGTTAATATTTTGTTATTCATATTGCTCACTATAAACACGACAGTCCAAACACATTACCTACGACTGCGACTACTACGGCAGATAGCGTGTCTGCCGATTCATCGTCTAAACCATCGCCTAAGGTTGCTGTGGAAATGACAAAATATGAAGAATGTGGATATAAAACATTAAAGTTGCTTAGCATCTGCAATCACCAATTAAAATAATTAATCTATAAATCGTCATGTGTTATCAAGTGCAACAATACAGTAGCTAGTTGTGTTATAGGACAGAATTGTCAGCGCGCACGTCAGCCGCGACATCGCCGCTAGGTGGCGCTTGGGAGAGCCACGGCCGCGCGTGTTGTCCTCGCCTCGTGTTCCACTGCAGCCGCGCGCCTGCGCCTCTCTGCCGCGCTCCCGCCGCTCTCAAGCGTCTAGAACACGCTGTTGAGGATCAACTGTACTTCATTCTAAGGAAAGCGCGAATCATTACCAATGTATGGTAAGTATCATTACCAATGTACAAGTGTAGCTCACCGATGTACCTGCTAAGAAGGCTACATTTCCGCATATCCTAGATAATCGGATTTAAGTAGCCCGTCGTTTGGGCGATCTGCACGTATGACACCCGCCGACTGGTGAGACGGTTGCCTAATGCGTTATATCTCTCACCTTGTGGTAATTGAACCACGAAACACATTATGTAAACAGTGTGGAAACAATTCAGAAAGTCAATCCGGATCGAAGGACCAAAAAGGATATGTCAACCAAACCAATAACTTTTCACCGTTTTCCTTTTCTGGACTTGCACATTTTTGGGACAGTATCAGGGGTAACTCAAAGAAAATTCCATAGGTCAATCAAATCAAAATTATTTATTCAGTCTAGTCTGAGTACTTGTGAAAGCCGAAACTATATGCCATCGGTTCATGACTGCGGTAGACCTTATACCGAGAAGAAACGGCAAGAAACTCGGCAAAGGCTGCTTTTTTTCCAAGATTTATTCTATAAAGAGTCGTCTAGATTGATGAATGACACAATATTAGAAAATATAAAAAGTATATATATATATATTTAACGTCAAACGATTCATATCGAATAAATGTAACGTAAAATAGCATGATAAACTGCATGATATAGCCCCCAACCACTACACACTTGTGAAAAATTCGACATCATGAAGTTTGGCATTTAAATATTTATTAACAGTATAATCTTCACCTTTGTTTATTTCAACTCGGTTATGCTTATGGCGCCTTTTTAGTGTTGGTACGCCCATAGTGTCGCCTTGATCTCCATCTGAGTAGCCAGCATTTAATATAAGGTATTTTTTCTCCACCACGTATTATATAGAAAGCTCTGTTGTTGTTTCTGCTCTCTCTCTCTCTCGCGGTATTGCAACTTCCTTAATTCTATTCCTGTTCAAGCCAATGTAAAAAAAAATCTATATTGCCTCATGTCTGAATGACTGTGATATCTTTGCCCTTTTAGAATCCCATAATGGCTAGTTTACATGTAATTAATTTGGTAAAAATTAGGAATATTTTTAACTTAATTTTAAGTGATTAATATGTGTAAACACACAAACAAGTAATAAGTAAAAATTTATTATGAGCTTATTTAAAAATAAAATTAAAATCTACTTATTACTTATCTACTTAATAACGTGTTTAAAGGTACCATGATATTTAATAAAGGAAATGAAAATTGCAGTGCTAAATCGCTATTTGCCATACCGAAAAATGAAGAGTTCGTGTATATAAACGCTGAAAACACGAGGGGCGCTCGTGACGTCGGCGCATTAGTTCGTGGCTTGATCGAGCGCTGCGCCCCCGCGCCCGCCCCCGGGGCCGTGCCCGCGCCCATCGCTGGGGTCACCCCTAGCAGTGGATCTGTCCGCGCCACGTTCAAACAGTTCTTACAAGCTCACATCGATTTGGCATTCGGTGAAGGCTTCGACGACAATGTTGGGAAGTATGCGATGACCACATCATTCTTTGAAGTGAGTTTTGAAATTTATTTTAATGAAGTATAGATATTATAGTCACTTATGTGAAAGAGCGTGTAAGCGAGATTTTAAAAGTATTCATACTCCGTATACCCTTATATCGAATATAGTTACATATATACTTTACTCTTTGAGTTACATCGAGGCTGCTCGTCAGGGTACTAGTATGTAAAAAAATTCTAGTTGATTTTGAACTCTATCCTTAAACCATAACGTCGTTAATACAGCGGCATTGGTGGATCTGGCAAGAATTCGAAACATCTGCGTAACTATGCGAATGCAAATAGGGTTGTCACCTTTTGAGAAACAAAATTCCTGACATTCGTATAGTCATCAGAAATCGGGACAGGTGGTAACCAATGATGTATTAAAAAGTTTAGATGGGTTATCTGCTTACTACGTTGACAAAGTTTCAGAAAGTTTTACTTTAGTCACGTTTCAGCACGCATTGTGGCTAATGTCATTTTCACTCGTAATTTTCTGTGGAAAGTTGGAGAAAAAATGCCTCCCTGCATGTTTAAATAATCCACAAATTACACATTGACAATGAGAAAAGCAAAAAAGATATTATTTCTTCCGTAAAAGATCTTCCGTAAAAAGATATTATACTACAGTACGTAGTTGCTGATGCTACTTATAAGAATATACATTAAAATTGTCGTTAAATCATAAATTAATTTAGACCATATCGAAATGAATACGAAAACTCATTCAATAAAAAAACGTGATATTAGAACTGTCAATATGGTTAAAACTAATGGCAGGTTTACACGTCAGTAAGTAGATAAGTGGAATTTGAACTTAATTTTGAGTGATTTAGTACGAGTAAACACACAAATAAGTAATAAGTAGCAAGATAATATTTAATGACTGGTTTACACGGATTACGTAGAATAGTAGATAAGTACTAAATTCATAACTTAATTTTAAGTGATTAATATAAATTTACACCTTGATAATATAAAATTAAGTGAACTACTTATCAACTTAATTTGGGTACACCAGCCATAATTATAATTATGCTCGTAAGTAGTTAACTAAATTTTAATTTGTTACTTATTAATTGTTTCACTTAAAATTAAGTTTAAAATGTACTTACTACTTATCTACTTAATTACGTGTAAACCAACCATAATGTAGCGTCTCGCACTATGTTAAGTTGCCGAGCGCTGCGACGTGGCGGTCGGCGGCCGAGGCGTTGGCCCCCATATACCTGGAGGAGGGGGAGGGGCACGCGCCCGGGGCCCTGTTCGATGCACTCGCTACTGACGTTAGGTTCTCGCAGGCTCGATGCGCTAAGGTTCGTTACTTTATACTATATATACTTTTTTATATTACAATCATTATCCTGCTATTCCTACACTCTAAAAAAAGGAGGCCAACAAAGAGCCATTTTCTCTTGGTTGACATAATATTGAATAAAACAATTACTTATTTACATAAATCAATCAAAGCTGAAACATTGAACCAACTAGTTAAAGTATGGTTAAATTAAAAATTTGGTAACCCTGATTAAATCTATCAAATATATTTATCGTATCTATCATTACTGGATTTTTTTGTGTGAATCGATTATTTTTAATAGTTAAATTTAACAACTAAGTATGTTGAAGCAATTTATACAAATTAATCAAAATAAATAGGTAAAATAATAGATTAGACGATTTTTATTGTTGCAGTAATAAGTTTCTCGTATTTGATTTAACAAAAAACGTTAGTAGAACCAAAAAAACCCTTTGTTTTTCAAACAACAAAGACTATTTAGTCAATTCAAAAACATGAATGATTAATGTAACTACTTGACATTATTGGACTAACTAAAATTAAGCTGTTCATGCTACTACCAATATATTTGCTAAAATAATTATCAAATTCTGATTGATTTAAATACTCTCTTACATGCATCAACTAAGAAAAGCGAGTGCCAACAAGGAGTGACTTTGTTAAATCAATCCACACAAACTTATCAAATTTACTTTTCAATAAAAATCACTTTTCTTCTGTTTAAGACTGGTTTATGATGCATCAGTCCACAGTTTTTTATCTTTCCTTGATAGATTATTGTTTGTTTTTGTTTTAGTTTTTCGTTTTTATGCGGCAGATAGCCGTTGCATATTAGTATGGCACTATTATTTGAATGTTAGTGATTATATATACACAGTAAGATCAATTATCAACACTTAAGACTTTGTTTTCACTTTCGCAAAACTAATATTAATAAATATCGGGAAATATTTAATTTAAAATTAAATTAAATCAGCTGTAAGGATTTGACAACCGTACACGCCAGTGTTACCGCCAATGTCAAATATGACGAGGCAAGTTTGTGAGAATATTGTTTGAATATTGTTATGAAAAAGATTAATTCAACCAACATGTTGGTCGATATTAATATGAAACACGCCCATCATCTTCATAGGTGCCCGAATAGTTCTAAGTCTGCAAACTAGATGGTGTTGTTCATTTAATGCATCGCGGTATCAGTTTATATCGTTAAATTGTATAAGTAATATGCCGTTTAAAGTGAACTTAATATGGGATTCGAAACCAACCATTCCAGTTATTTACTTTAGTTCTTTGGTTAGGCTCTGAGCTGTGGTCCGAGATTAAAGTTTCTTGGTTGAATTACCATTGGTAAATTGGTTGGTATAATCATATCTCATGCTTAAATTGACCAATCTTTTGGCCGAATTAACTTCGGTAAATTGTTTGTAACAACCAAGATTCATATTAATATCGACCAACATGTTGGTTGAATTAACTTCGGTAAATTGGTTAGTACAACGATGTTTCATGCTTATATTGACTAACCTATCGGTTGAAAGAACTAAGGTAAATTGGCAAGTACAATGATATTTCATGTTTAAATTGACCAACTCTTTGATCAAATTAACTTTCGGGAATTGATTAGTTTAGCCACGTTTTTCATGTTAATTTTTACCAACCTCTTGGTTGAATCAACTGTGGTAAATTGTTCATACAGTCACATATCATAGACATATCGACTACGATCTTATTTAAATTGAAGACTAGGCAGTAGTTGCTATAGTTATTTATAATGATCAAATTGAATGAAATTTTAACTATCTTAACAAAGTAACTATAGTAAAAATAATAAAAACCAGCTTATTTAATGGATCTAACATCTTGTCAGGCTCATATGGAAACAAGATGCTTGGTTACATATATCACAATATTGTTTGATGTAACAAATTTTTTTTTAGAGTGTCGTGATGCCAAAATCAGTCCAGCCATTCTTGCGTATTAAATTTACTAAATTACATTATTGTACAAGTCGGTTTTGTATTAATTTATTGTACTCTATATGTTTAGGTGTTGCCGATTGCTCAAGCATCGTACGCTGAGGGTCTTCCCTCGCACTATTCCAGTCAGCATCACGCGCACAAGGTCAGTAATATTACAACTTTATAGAATAATTTTTAATATTTATTTTTAGGAGTATCTTGTACAATACCAAAAAAGTTATCTCTAAAGCACAAAAATTAAGAAATACATACACGATAATAGATTATTGGTTAATATGTAATTAATATTTTGCTATTCATGTTCACATATGACTGTTTGTTCCTGCAAAGATCGGATTGGACTTAATATCCGGTTGCGCATTTTTTTGAATTTTTTTATTTACCATGTTATACTATTTTGTGGGTAAGTTTACCTGAGCAGAAATACGAATCTGCTTAAATAGGTAGTAAAAAGTATGCGAGTCAAATAGTTACGCTATTGAAATAACACTAATAAATATGATTAATTATCAATGGGATGTCTGTAAGGAAAGGTGGTGTTTTGACGGATGTAGGTGAGCGTGGCATTGACCGTTCTGGATTCTATGGCCCGCGGACCGGTGGCGGGGGCCGCGCGGGACAAGCTGAAGGCCGCGTGTAAAGCGCATCACCGCACTAGACGACTGTGCGAGGCGCCCTCACTCACCAGGCATCTGTGCGTGCTGCCCGACCAGTGAGTACTGAACGCATCACCGCACTAGACATTTGTGTGTACTGCCCGAACAGTGAGTACTGAACGCATCACCGCACTAGACATTTGTGTGTACTGCCTGACCAGTGAGTACTGAATGCATCACCGCACTAGACATTTGTGTGTACTGCCCGACCAGTGAGTACTGAACGCATCACCGCACTAGACATTTGTGTGTACTGCCCGACCAGTGAGTACTGAACGCATCACCGCACTAGACATTTGTGTGTACTGCCCGACCAGTGAGTACTGAACGCATCACCGCATTAGACATTTGTGTGTACTGCCTGACCAGTGAGTACTGAACGCATCACCGCACTAGACATTTGTGTGTACTGCCCGATCAGTGAGTACTGAACGCATCACCGCACTAGACATTTGTGTGTACTGCCCGACCAGTGAGTACTGAACGCATCACCGCACTAGACATTTGTGTGTACTGCCCGACCAGTGAGTACTGAACGCATCACCGCACTAGACATTTGTGTGTACTGCCCGACCAGTGAGTACTGAACGCATCACCGTACTAGATGACTGTGTGTGCTTCCCGTCCAGTGAGTACTGAATGCATCACCGCACCAGATGACTGTGTGTGCTGCCCGATTAGTGAGTACTGAACACATGAACGTACCATACGAGTGGTGTGGTGCTCGAGTACTTCTCCACTATACTGCGTTGTATGGTACATGTGATGTCGACATTTACAGCCTTTCTTAACAACTTTTTAACTAGTTTATCTATATCTGCTATCTGTTTATTTTTGCTTAAAACAGATGAGTTGATGATTTAACTGGATACATAATAAAAAACCTGATCAATTATTATTATAAACAATAGAAGCGATAATGAAAAAATGTGATGGCGGCATTTCCTTGATCTCGCTGCTTCTACAGGTTCAAAGAAACGTCTAAATTGCGTTAAAGTCTTTTTATTATACGATAATTGTATTTTTTTTTACAGTGACAATACAAAAGAGCATTCATCAGGCGTACGGTACATAAGCGCGTGCAACTGCGGCCGTGCAAAGTGTTCACGTGAAGACCCGTACACAGTGAAGAGGGCCAACTATACGTTCTACGTACA